TAAAAACTTACTAAACGTTATCTTCATGAATGTGCAAATAGTAAAGTGCTACAGAAATTTTAACGAGATGGGTTCAGCGTTGTAAGTGGCATAACGTCTGTTATATTTGTACAGCAAATTAAATTGCGCTTGTAAAATATGACATCTGTTCATATAATTTATTATGCAGGACAAGCAACAATAACATAAAAAAACGTTGAAATTTTAAAATGAGTCCATTAAAACATAATAAAAAGTTTGGGAGCATGCATATCATTGCGATCATTTGATGGAACTTTGTCAGCAATACATATTTGGATAAAATCGGTTGTTTTTGTCGAGTATGAAACAGATGTGTACACGCCAAAAGAATATCAATTTGTAAAGCTATTTTGATAAAAAAAAATTAGGCATTGTTTTGGAAATAGTATGCGGTTTATTTTAGAAACGACGTTTAGACGTTGCACGACACTAACAACATATATCTCTACCAACAAAATAAAATTATAACATTGTAGCTAATGTAGAAATTACTCGTTCGCGTTTATTGTCGCTAAATTTTGCAATGACTGAGGTTTTTACCATTTTATTCAAAAATTAATAGAATTTATTATTCTCAGCATTATTTAAAATACGTAGTTCAAAGTTTAAAATAAAATAAATGTTTCTGAAATCAATGCAAATTTTCATATTCAGCCCAATCAAATTTGTTCGAATCCTAAAACTGCTATTGAATAAATATAAAGCAGTATTCATATATATGTCTCAAGCCTCCCAATATTTCTCAATCACTATAACATCGACCAACTCAAAACTATCTAAAATCAGAAATACACCATGTGTTTTTCCTTAATTAAAATTGGAACAAATCTTTCTTTGTCTCAATCATCCTCTAAATTCTATTTGATTTGTTGTGCTTGAAAACTCCGTATGTTTGAAAGCAATACTATTCGTTTTGTTAAATATTAATCAAATAGTACATGCTATGTCGAAATAATATTGCTATCGAATTGTGTTAAAACATAAACCAATTAGGGAACTTGGTTGATCGAGCTTAAAATGTACTTGATAAATTTGAAAATGAACATAACCATTGTATTGTATTGATTGTTATCTGGCAACCTTGTTTGATGTTGTTTTCGAGTAACTAAGATACATAGCCAAAGTGTATTTATTTAATAATTCCAATAGCTACTCGTGGGTGACTTTTTAATGTATTTTCAATTTTCGTGACATTTCGAAATATCAAACATTAACACTTCCCGTGTTTGGATAATTGACGTCAGCTCTTATATTTAATTTGATTACTTTCCTGACAGTTGTATCCGAAACTACAGTATCGGCTACTACAAAAATCTATTTTTGCGATAAACAGTTGTTGAAATAATTTTCATGTAAAATATATGATAAATTTTACCTAGATGTTGGTATCATGTACGCAAAAATTCGTTAGTTCGAAGCCACGATTATTTCATTCACTCATTTTGTAACTAGTGCCTCAGATTCCAAACGGCTCTGCCTAACTTGAAGTTACGTTATTTTTAGAAATAGAGAGTAAAGGCCCATGTCTTAATTAGGTCATCAAAACGACAAACTTGCCTTTCTTATTCTAATAGATTTTGTATTAATGCCTTAACATTGGAGAAAATCTTGCATGAACCTTTTGTGATCTTCAGATAAGGAAGTTCGGATGGAATTATGATTTGTTTTTTTTAGTAATAAGTCGAAATTATCGTATGTTGAAACTACTTTTTCTTTTTTTCTTTTTAATCGCCAGTGACATTAGTGATCTGTAAATATATAAATTAACAGGAATTTCCCTGTTCGTGATTTCACCCAAATTGATTTTCCAAATACGAATCTAAAAAATTGGAATTCTGCAATAAATTTTCTGATATTTTCAGAAGTCGCGCAACAAACATGCTCTGCGTCGCTTCATGATGGAGGGTTGGAGCGCTGAACTTCGTAAAAACGAGGTTAACAAGCACGCAAGTAACTGTGTCTAGCGAATTCTCGGTTTCGTTACATTTGAACCCAAGTACATCTGAACCCACGACAATTGCACCTGTATAGTATCGCACCTATGGAAATTGCACTGGATATTTGAACCCAAACTAATCCTAACCCATGGATTTTAGCACCCGCATTTAGATTGAACGCGCGGATATACGGGTACAAATGTATGGGTTCAAGTGTACGTGGGTTAAAATGTGTTGTCACCGATATCTCTTATGTGCGATTCATAAATTATCTTATAAATACATCTTACGCATTGTCGTCGTTGAACAAAACCATTCACTCTCTGATCACTCAGCCTTATTAATTGCAATCGCCAGCCACCCGGGCAGGCCAAGCAGTTGTTTGACCAGGCGGCTTGCTCTGCTGTACTTTTTGTAGTCTGTGTTTTTGAGATTAGGTCGTGTAACAGTAGTCTATGGATACTAGAGATGTACCGATACCACTTTTGTCGCCGATACCGATACCAGCTAAAAACGCCGATACCGATACCGATACGCCGATACTACAAAAAGGCCGATATTACCGATATTCCGATACCGATACTATGTAATTATTACTTAATTAGGTATGCTGTGTAGGGCAGACGGGTTAAAACAATGGTCTTTAAGCGTTGTTCATAGTACACATTATTTCAGATCGAAAAAAAAGATATATATATCACATAATATGAAATTAATGTTTGGTATCCATATGCTGAAACTGATTAAGATACATTGTACAGTAACGCTAGTAATCTCGGTGTTCAATTAGAAAACTCATAAGCCGGGATGTCCAATTTGAATTTAATGTTAATATCGCGAGCTTCTAATATCGTTATTCGTGTTTAAAAGAATATCGAATATCACTCACACATTCTAGCGCCGCCGTCCTACGTTCAAATTAAAAGCAATTTACAAATATTTAATTTAGTGGCTAATCGTAATCGTCGACGCAATAAGTCAAAGCCAACATGAAAGAATATCAATCAGCACCGACAAAAAGAAGGCCCACCGATAACCGTTGAGGATGTTTTTTTACTTCACTATTTTATAATATTTTACAATTGCTATCTTATATTTTGAGACAGTCTAGGGCTAGGCGGTCAAGTCAATATATCTATAAAGAAATCGTGTAGTTAAGCAGAATTAAAATTAATACCTGTGTAGTGGGATAATTGTGTCGGAATTTAGTTTATCGATGTCGACGGACTAAATGACACTCGTACTTGACGACAAACAGTCAGAATTTATACCTGTGCCAAAAGTCCATGTGCCGTTAATAAGGAAGGACCCCAATTCCACTGTATGATTTAAAACCGGGCGCCTAGTTGCTTTTTGTTATGTGCTGTTTTGATATATTTCTTCATAAAAACTATGTAATATTAAAAATGTCAATAAAAAAATTTGACAGCGAAAATAGCCAAATTAGTTGAGCTAGTTTAGCTGATAAATAGCTAAAAACACGTGAATCCTATTCTCGCGCAGGGGTGGGGACATGTATGGCTCATAGCTCACGATCTCTCCAGACAAAAATAAATTAAAAAGTAGTATTCCAACTTATTTTTTAAAACATTCTGGACCATATCAAAAAGGTAAATATATCGGCAATATCGGCCTTAATCTAACCGATACCGATACATGGCCGATACCAAAAAATGGCCGATATTGCCGATACCGATACCCGATACCGATACATCGGTACATCTCTAATGGATACATGAAATGTTCAAGTTACATGTTGTGGACTACCCGTGTAACAGAAAATGGAATGAGTGAATTGCCAAAAAATAAACAAACTCGTAGGCCGTAATTGATGTTATCGTATCGGTATTGATGTATTGCGTTAGTCAACAGATACTGTAATATATTATCAGTACCGGTCCGAGTGTCTTTTAGGTGAAGATACGGGACCCATCAAAAAAGGAATGAATGACTATTAACTTTTAAGATTAGTTTTTCGTCGTTGCAGTGCTAGATTGTGTAATCTATATAACAATAGAGCCAATCTTCAAAGGAAAACAAAATATTTTCCCAAAAATCAAATTCTAGACGAAGCTGAACCTGGAGACCATCGTAACTCAATAGTACCGGTACCCGGACTGCCCTAGCTTTATCAGGTCCTGTAACAATGACAATTCATGCGTTTTGTGTCAACATAAGATGAAATGATAAAGGATTTCGACTCACAGCTGCAGTATTAATTTAATGTACTTTTTACCATTTACAGCAACTCACCTTACCTCCCTAAAGTGCGTCACAGGTATCGAAAAACCATCGATTTCGCGTCGCTAGATTTTAACGTCACGCTTGGCGGATTAAAAACCGTCTTCCCATAAATAAAAAAATATTACAGCGAAATTTTGGATGAAATACCAGATCTCGTAGAAAATTTAGGAATAAATAAACGAAATAGCGAAAAATACGATCTTTATCCCCTGACAATTTCAAAGCAATTGGTCCATTAGTTTATGAAAAAAGCGATTTTTTTATACGGTAACAGAAAGAAGAAAATTCTGACAACAAATACAAAATGATCCATAATTCCACTTCGTGTCCATCACCTAATTTTTTTATGAAGTAGGCAAACACAAAGGCAAGATTATATTAACTTGAATACCCGCTAAGAATATGCCAAACTGTTGACGAGGAAATTTTGGTCTTGTTAATTTGTGAGCGCTCCAGCGTGTTAATTAAAGAAGATTAGCGAATGTCAATTTTTTGAGAAAATGAGAGAAGGAGAAAATATGCGAAAAAAAAATTCTCTCGAATATATACTATGACTAATGTATGTCAATTTCTCGTTTTACGCTAAAGTTGATGCTTTACAAACACATTAAATGGTAACGGAGTTTAACAGAACAGAAGACCCCCTGATTCGGAAAAAATGTCTAAGAAAGCTTCTTTCAACCAGGAAGTTGCTCTTGCCTGGTTTCGGGCTTACCGTTCTAGATTAACGGCGATGTTGCTTATCAATGCTTTGATTTACAATTAGAAAATTTATGACAATTTAAAAATTATTCCCACCATCTCTGTTCTTCTGAAAGTTGTGATAATTCCACCACGGCAAAATATGAATATATCGATTCCGACATTGAAAATAAAGTCCAATCTGTAGAAGTCTTGGAATTCCGAGAAAACCTTGAAATCTCTTGCTCTATTGCAACGGGTATATATATTAACATTAAAAGTTTAAAAAAATTTCAATTCAAAAGCCTTAGATACAATTTTCATGCAACAATGACTATAATTTCTCCATAAAGACATTATCTGGAATGAAAACACAAAACAAAATAATGGAGACTCTTAGAGACTTTTGATTCTCATAAAAAACAACATTTATTCTGAGAAATTATTTGTAAAACGATTTATAAAGTTTCGCAATAATGCACTAACCTTTTCGGATAGAACATAATCTTGTTCAAGCATCTTCCAAAAATTTGACATCTTGATTACTACTCCAAGTGAATATACTTTGCATCCTAAAAATATTAGAACATTGAAAATATACTTCAAAATTATCGCCTCGTCTGCGCTGTAAACCTCATGGTTACACTGACTTGAAACATACAGCAGTCACATAAGATATTCGAATTATTCCTGTGTCGTAATTAAATTGAGTAGTTGGCAAGCAGGCCAAGCTTCGCTACTCAGCAGGTGAACTAGTCAAAACAAACTATAAAATATTTGACTTTGAGCTCTTTCGCAGTTTCTCACAGCATTTTTGTACACTGATGACGACTTTATTCGAATTAATTAATGTACGATATCAGTAACATATAATATTTGTAATGAATCACGTCGTGTGAGCTTCCGGTAATCTGCCGTTAAGTCCGCTAACACACGTGAAGGCTCAAGCTGTAGACCGGTAATCAAATAGAACAGCAAAAGGTTGGCGACGTCAGGGTACAAAACGACGGCCATTTTTGTTTTCTCTCATATATATGTAATGTTAAACTGAAAGCACAATAGAGTTATATTTTAAACGCTAAAAATGAGCCCAAAATATAGAAGTTTCAAAAGAATAATTTAAATATACATATGTGTATGATAGAAGTGTTGGGTGGATGTGTGTAGACTGTAGATCAGTGGTTCTCAACATGTGGTACGCGGAAGGTGATCAAGTGGTACGCGAACAGCTTTAATTTATTGCAACAATTAACTTTTAAGTTGGCCAAAATATGCTGACCACGCTTTATCTTCCATACTGTACGTATTCGCTGAACGGCCTTTATGAATGTTTCCCCGGGCATCAATTTCCTTGTTTATTTCCGTAACCAGCAACAATCAGTAAACATTGCTTTGTTTTTGTAGTTTTGTGTGTTATTTGTCAGTTTTTAGTTGCGTTTCAAAAAAAAATTTGTGAATATAATATCTTAATTGTCATTATGTCTTCAAAGGAACATTAATTTAGTTGTTGTAATCAAAAATGAGTCTCACAAATGGTGCGATAGACTAATTTAAACTAAGCTATCAGTGCCTGTAAGCGGCACATGGTTGATTAATTTTAATAAAAATATGGGTTTTCAAACACATAAACCAGCTTATAAGCGCCAACACATCAAAACAATCTCAAAATGAGTATAAAATTTTTCGCAATATAAAGTATAGGAAGAATTTTTCTGGGGTCAAGGGTCGGAGAAACGTCCTATGGGCCAGTCCAGTCTTTAGAAATCGCCCTCGCCTGCTATTGTCCACAAACGAATCGAGATGGGCATGTTTTCGTCCGGCTTGCGAATTAGGTCAATAAGGATGTAGTGCCACATTTTAAAATACTCCCATAGCGCGTGTCTTGCGCCATTGTTTCACGCGCCAAAAAGGGGGGCTTTTCAGTGGTACGCGGGCAGAGTAAAAAACAGTAAAGTGGTACGCGGTCAGTAAAAGGTTAAGAACCCCTGCTGTAGATGAACGACTCGAAGTTACAAGTACACAATTATAAAGCATCGTGGTTGGCATCGAAAATTCGCCGATAACTTTGTTCATAGACGAGTCTCCTCTGCAATGTACTTACTTTGTATACTACTCTGTATCTCTGTTTTACTAGTCATTAATTTGAAATCTTAAGCTATGAATTTTATTAGACTATCTGTATTATTAATTATTTTATGTCCAATGCTGATGTACTTCATATTCTACCTGTTCATATCAAATCACAACATCGGTGTCAGAAAGACTCAGGACCGTGACATTGAAGCAGGTAATGCAAGTTCACGTTTATTGTGATGTATGGACAATAAAAATGGCTAATATCAGAGAAAATTTTTGTGAAGATGACAAAAGTAAAAGTTTCCCCGAAACGCTGATTATAGGAAAAAAATCTACGAAGATTATAAATACTACAACTGTAAATTATACATAATTTCAAACTAGTTCGAGTTTAGCTTGTAGAAATCTGTGTTTTTTATAAAAGAGGACATTGAAACATAGTGGCTAGTTTTTAACGTATAAACATCCCTGTAACTTGTCTGTGGGAAATTTGAGACTTCCTGCAGCACTACTTCATGACAACAAAAGACTACAGATTTACATTGTGAAGAAGAAAAAAGTTACAGATCGAACTTGAAAATCTGCAAAGTAACTTACTATACGTTATCTAATCATGTGTTAGGCTGGGTTGTCCAAGAAATGGCGCAGTTTACTTGATGTGGGTGGCTTGTATTACATATATACTACTTTGTTCAAACTCCTAACTTTAATTTATTCCATAAACAGGAATTACCATAGATGATCGTCTTCATATACGAAGAGCTGAATGGAATCATTATTTAAAACTTTCGCAGAGTACGGTATGATATGAAGCAGTTTTTAGCAATATACGATATATGCAGGCATATTGTTAGTATATATACCGGTATATTAGTATTTTTACACACTAATGTTATAACTTTGGCGTTCTAAAATGCGTAATATTGCTTAAATAATATTGGTTTCAAGTTCTAATAGTCTTATTAGTTTAACAAGCAACAAAATCCTGAATTTGTACAACAAATGGTACATATGTGTGTTGATTCTGATTTTTATAACCTCTATGTAGAAGAAAACAAAACGACTGCCGAACATCATTGGAATAGGAGTCAAGAAATGTGGAACAGAAGCTATGATAACATTTATTCGACAACATCCATTTATTAAAACGCCCAATTACAAAGAGACGTTTTTCTTTAACGAAAAATATGATAAAGGACTGGATTATTACAAGTAAGTCTTGAAATATTTTATTCCTGCAATCTGTTATTTTTTCCTGTGCAATATTTTACTTCAGGTGATGAAGAACTTATTATGAAGTAGATAGAGTCGTTGTGAAACTAAGAATGTAAAGTACTTTGATAATTGAAAATTTTAATTTTTGGGTCAAATATGCGCTCCCGTCATTAATAATGGTGACCTGACTCCGGAACAACTCAACTGTGGTTTCTCTGCTTTATAGTTCTAACATTGACATACTTGCATATTCGACAGACGGGCCCTCTATATCAAGTTATGTTTCAGGCCTGAGCGCGTGTTTGATTTAGTTTTTTAGTATTATCATTGGATAAAGAAAACTATTATGAGCTTATATTTTGATCTATTAATGTGTGAGTTTTGTTTGCAGAAGCCAAATGCCAGAAGTTGCAGATGATGAATTGATCATGGAGAAAACACCACCGTATTTCAATTCTCCTCCGGAATCACTCCCAGAAATAATCAATAAGGATGTTCCAAATGCCAAATTGATATTAGTACTGTGCGATCCAGTAAAAAGAAGTTACTCAGATTTCATTCACGAGGTAACGTTTGCGAATCTGTACGGGAATATCTAGTTTCTTTTGTTTATGGCATTATTTATCTGAATATTTATTGCAATCTAACTATATATAGATATGATTACTGCGTTGTAATTACTACAAGGATATTATTTTATCAAAGTTTTCTCAAACCATGATTAAATTGGCTTTCCCCGTAAATATAATGCTCAGATGCCAATTCCACAAAAATAAAAGTTGGAGCGATAAGCACAACATTTTTGTTACGACAGAAACGATAATAAAGTATCAGTTGTCAAGAGTCTAAATTCTATTCTGCACCGACTATGTGAATAGCATATTTCAAGTTTGTTTTACAAGTTACCATTGAACCCAACCTTACGTACACCCTTCAAGTAGACAGAGCGTGTTATCATTATACCTGAACAACTGTGACAAGTGCAAGTGTAGAAAATATATGATCTCAATTCGTCTGGAATGATGAGCTAAACATAGTCATCGAGTCGCTTAGCCCTAGACCACTGGTTCTCAACCTAGGCCACATGACCATTTCCCCAAACCTATTGAACACGCCAGAGTTTTTGAAATTCAGTTTCATTTGTGTCGCTATAGTTAAATTTGGATCGGAGTAGCAATAAATGATGCTCCTGTTGTTTGCTACAAAGTAGTTATTTTCATTCAGAAACTCTGAAATTTGTCATACAACGCTGTACATTTTCTTACAGAAGGCAATTCCTTTGTTTTGCAGAAAATAAAACCTCCCAATTTATCAACGGTGACTCAATACAATTCATTTGATGATTATTTGGATGTATACATCGACAGAGTGAAGACATCTTTAGACAAAAATAACAATATAACTTTAAAAAACGTCATGTCAAGTTACAAAAATGATTATGCAACAACTCTTTTAACAACGGGACTATATTCAATTCATCTTCCTCGGTGGATAAATACATTCAATTCATCTAATTTGCTCATTTTGAACGGAGAAAAAATGATTGAGGATCCAGGACATCAGGTTTGTGCATGATGTATGCTGCTAATTTTTGTTTCACGAGCCCTTGGTGTTGCGTAAAGATGAGGTAAACACCACAGTTTGATTTAGTTCATTTGATTTCAGTATAATTCGTTTACCAGACTCTGGTTCAGGACTTGTATTGGTGATCATTCAACCATGCGATGACGTCATATTCTTAAATGGTGTGATATCAAACTATGAGAGAAGTGCGTACGCAGAATTTGGTCGAGGGCATATACAAAATTTATAGTTTCTGGCCGTATATTTTTATGTTTTTGTAGCTTTCAGATATTTCACAAAAAGGGAAAATCTAACGTGACACAAAATTAGATACGTAGAAATTCATTATGACGTAATAAGGAATTTTGTGTAAAATGTGTTGTGCTGTCATGAATAAATTTCTAAACTATGCACGTACTTTAATATGAGGTCCAAACGTAGTTACTAATTCTTGTATAATTTTAAATTTGAAAATTAGTAATAATAAAGCAAGTTTTTTTATCAAGACAATAACAATCTTCAAAACATCTAATTACCTAAACTCGTTGACCCGGATTGTAGGAGGTTTATTTATATATTAAGAAACATTGAAGTACCAAACTTAATAATAGTCAATTGATTTGTAAAGGTAGGCCGAATGCAATATTTCCTCGGAATACCAAGGCTTCTACAAGCAGGAGATTTTGTTCGCAATTCACGGAACGGCCTATATTGTATTCGACCATGGTGGAATGGTTACGACTTTAAAGCGGAATTCAACAAGTCTCCAGATTGGGAGAAAAATTTGATATGTTTGTCAGAAACAAAGAAAGGCAGAACCAGACATAAAAATGGAAAAGTAAATGCAACGAAAAAGCATATTATTGAATTGAAAAATCTTTATCGATCTTATAACAAAAAACTTTATAAGATGTTGGAGATTAATTTTGAATGGCTATGAATTGTAGTTGCCAGTTTTTACTTTAACTAGCACTGTTAAACACTGCCACTGTAACTGGCTTTCGTAGAAATATAAGGTACTTCTCGTCATTCTAAGCCTATGGTTTAATCAAGCATTGCAAATTTCCTTCTATAAAGGAAGCTTTGGCATTTTGTTACCTTATTGTTTAAGTCTAAACCTACTTTGACAATAAATAAATTATTCCATCGACACAATTTTTATCTCATTTTCAATAATGATTTTTGTTGGCGAGAGTTATATTTTCTATTATTTATGTTGTTTTGTATAGTTGTTAAAAACGGTGAAATTTCAGTTCTTTTATTATTCTGAGCAAACCATGTAAAAGATGTGCTGTATTCCTCATTTGAAGCTCAACATTTTAGTCTATCAGAAAGCAGTAGGTTCAGGACAATAAATTTGTTTCAGTAAATACGTCAAGATAAACAATATGAAAAACTATTAGATCAAGGTTAGTATTTTACATACAAATATAATTCTAAAAGTAGGAATTACACTGGCATTGCTGCACGAGGAGCTTCTATATTTGTGTAATGACCGGAATATTTCTGATTTGGCATAGGCTTGCGATTTTGGACGTGACACCTGCACCCGAGCAGTCTTACCTGTGAGGCCAACGAAACTAGTCCAACACGCTTACTAACAGACTTGTCTTAATCATCGAATTCAGCGTTCCTTAGGCGAAAAAAATTATCGCTGTAGAATCTGACACTTTGGTTTAAAATGCAACTCTCGGAAAACCTTTTAAAATAAATATTGGTCCTGACGTCAATTTGTATTTTGCAATCACTGAAATAGTCAATATATGATATTTCGAAATGATATAAATACAATTGATATGCAATTAATAAAGTTTAGAATGTCAGCCACCTGTTGTTGTCGCAATAGTCAAATAGATACATATTTACTGTGCCTTCAAAACATTCTTCGGACCTCCAAAAGTATGTGCAACAAGATGGCGCACAACCTGAACATAGTAGTTGCACCAGGTTAGGGTTCAGGTTGTGCGCCATCTTGATGCACATACTTTGGGAACGACCATTCTTACATATTTATCTTCAAAAACAGCATGAGAACAATAAACACATTGTTTATGTACAATTTCTTTGTTTCAAATTATCGACTTTATTTAATCTCGACCAAGCAAGGCTCATCATTAGTTCATAATTAAATCAACTATATACATATTTACTGTGCCTTCAAAACATCATAGATACAGCATGGGAACAATGACCACATAGTTTACGTAGAATTTCTTTGTTTCAGGTTATCGACTTTCAGTTTTCAAAAACAATTGTATTGTAAATCAAGCTCTAATTCATAGGCGCGCGAATACAACTAAGTATCCTCGGTTGCATGTGGGAAATGTTCGAATTTAAAATCGCAAACCTGGGAAGCTAACACAACTATAATTTCAGGCTCAGGGAAACAAGACACTTGATACATTATGTTGCTTTTATTTAGAATAACTTATTGAAATTTGAATTAAAAATCCATAGCTAACTTTAAATAGTAATGAAGTTGGGCAATAGTATTGCTTTTTAGAAATGTTCATTGTGAACCTGATAATTATTTCAATCAAGAATACGTTACTTTGAATCGCGGGAACATTGATGAAATTGGGGAAATGAAAATGTTTCGGAGAAAATTAAACAATATTTTAAAGGACCTCAACTGGAATCAATTCTATATCCATACAAGAAGAGCGGTTCTGATACATTGCTTACTGTAGAATCCAACTTTCTGGTTAAGCTTCAAGTATCAGAATATGAAGTCGAGGAAAACAAAGAACTGAGCTTAAGATTACTTAGTATCGGGCGAAATTGTCATTTGTGTTTGACCCATATCAAGAATCCTGAATTAGCATTCAAATCAGATAGAACAGACATAAATGCTCTGGGTATCATGGGAAACATTGAATTTTTGAAAAGTTCATCTACAAGCGGACACAAACCTGTGATTGTACGACTGGAAAATGTTCAAGTTCATTGGGATTCAACATTCTACTCGGGAGGCTCGTTCATATGCTTTAAACTGGTTAACGTAGGCGATTTTCTTTGTATTCGCCAAGATATTTCTGAATGCGAAAGTAGACCACCGTATGTTTGGGTAGCCCATGCAATAGTCAGGGAAGTCGCAAATAAAAAAAGTTTTGTTCTCAGTGTGCACGTATCCATTCTTATAGGCAGGTGGTAGGGTATCACTACCTACATAAATATGCATTTTGTAACTTGCGGAGACAGACCTTGCAGATATTCGTGTGTATCAGTATCACATTACGAATAATAGTAAACGATATGCTTGTGGAGGTTTTTTGGAACTAAAAATACTACTAATGTTGGAAAACTAGAACTATTGTGTCAAAATATTGAACCAATGCTACAACTGTAAAATATTATCAGACTTTGAGAAAGCAAAATATATTCCAAAACGAATGCAAACAAATGCATACGCATGTCATCAAAATGCCAACGAAAGGAACAAAAGAGCAATGTTCAAATACGTGGACACGAAAACTGAAACAAAATGCACCCAGAATTCTCCCAAAACCATATCCTTGACAAAGTTGGAAGTGTGGAACAGCTGCCGTAACGTAGGCAACCGCTTCTCGAACTTTTCGTGTTCTGGAGCCTGTGAAGAGGTTCACTATTATTTACGAAGTCCCACAATTAATTTACGAAAATAAAATTATTTTATTTAATGACTAGGATGTATTTTCAGATTTAATGCCCTTATTGCTTCTTTGGACAGTTACAAAATTAGCCAAGTCAACATTTTAGAAAGTAAATGAATAGCTCTCGGAACTCATATGTTTCTCTCACAGTACCGGTTGTCCTCCTCGTCAAAAAAGCTTCTGACTTCGCCGCGCATTAAATAGGCAATCGCAGAACGATTCGCAAGTTATTCGACGACATCCTCACACAAAACGAATGGAGCATAAAATAGCCTACAGAAAATACTGTAATAGGCTTATAGACACAATAACAATCGTTAATCATACTGCAGAGTTTGAAGCAATTGATCAAGTAGTTGAATATGAATGAAGGCCAGTCGAGTTTTGTGGGGCTCTAAACTGCATGTGATTGTATGTGATTATTTCTATTTTGATTCTCCAAAGTTCAAACGACGAACCAATAAGATCTTACGTTTATCCTATGGTGACGTCAAAATAGCGCCGGTAAAAAGAGCTTTGCCTCATCTCGCACTCATGTTAGCTGCCACGGCCTGTCGCATTCGAATGTATCATGTTGCAGTGTAATGGCTAGAATTAGAAGGTTCTTGAGTTTACTACTGGCTGTTTCAATATCTGCAACGACATACATAAGTATACTTAAATGGCAGCCAAATAAAAAAATTGTTTGGAATGGTAAGGAACGTAAACTACTATAAAATAAAAAATCTTAGTTCAGACTGTGTGGATCAACTATCAATCAGCCATCAATTATAAACTGTAAATATCGTGATGCTTTGCATCTGATGCTATATTTTCATTAATAATTTTATAAATCTTACCTCGGATACATTATTCCGATATTTTTACTGTTTTCAAATAATATGTTTACCTTAACGCTAGTCTACTCGTATCTCCGGTAAGGTTAACTTGAAAGATTGGATTTACCAGATGATACTTTACCATCGATTTTTGAGCACGTAGGCACAACAGAATTTCTTATCAATAAGAAAAGTAGTATATTGTGATTACCAATCTCATTAGGATAACTTTGTTTTGTGACTCAGAAAGATACCTGCACACATAGTTATCGCTTTTTGTTGATATATATACTAACACAAATAACATAGGGTTTGTCTCAATGTGTAAAATACATTACCGCTTTTCAAAGCTAGTGTTACCATTTCTTGTCGGCCGCGAACTCGTTGCCAAATTATTAGTATTTTTTCTATATTTTGTGATAGAATTGGAATTATTTCGACCTTTTGATGGAATAGCAATGCTGAAGCATTTTCTGTAATGCTGTTTACGCTGTTAGCAAAAAATCACGTGAATGAATTGTATTGTTGGGCCATAACAATAATATTTAGTTATCATATCTAATTATTATATTGTTAGAATATATTTCCAACCAAAAATATAGAAAGCCAGTGAACAATTTGGAGTAGCCAAGCACGTTATTCAACTTCGTTAGTTGCGTCAGCCGATCGTGACACTAGTCAATTCCATTGACATTAGCGATGTAACAAGATGTCAAACTATCGGATGCATCTGCTGTCCTATGCAGTCGTCCATGCCATTTATACGACGTTGGTATTTTAGAATAGTAATGCTTTTATTTTTACGTAAGTACGAAAATACGTATCAAAAATTTATTACATTCGAACAGTTTACCTCACATTTTATGTTCGCAGATTGCAGTGGTATTTTAGCCTAATGATGCTTTTATTTTTTCGTAAATCGACACAACCATGAGTTAGATTGAACAAAATTAAATCAATATACCGTACGGCATTTTGATTGCTGGTATAGGTCATGGACTTTTACGCAACAGAAAATCATTCCAATAAGAGTCATTACTTTTACCTATCATTATCAAAATTATTTGCCAAAAAGCGGGAAAAGAATAAATTATTTTTGGGTATCGTACGAATTACGGCTTCACATAGCTTTCAATTTTTCGACGTAATGGAACGAATGCGTAAATAAGAGAAATGTAAAGTGGCTATCATCCGAAAGTATATTACGTTGATATTCGATTCGTTTTAGACAACCCTGCATCGACTTATTTTAGCCTCTGAAGATGAAACAAACGTTAATAAAGGTGGTCCGAAAAGTAAAACTCTCCGTAAAAGTGGGCCGCGATGTAAAAAAAAGTTGAGAGGCACTGGGTTAAGCCAAAGTGACGAAATTTCGGAGTCCAAAACCGTTATAGTGACTAAAGTAATCATCTTGTATACTTGGGTAGATCACTCCCGCGCGTATTTATTCCAACTAATTGGAAAATTATATTTTTAGTGAGCAATGCATTCAAATGAACAGTGACGTAAACCGATGTAACTGAGAAAAAAGTTTAGTAGTAGAAAAATTGTTTCACCTCATTATTCGAAGTCGAATGTCGAAAGACGATTTTATTAATGCAAAACAGCACTTTGTCCGTTTGAAAATTTCGCATAAATCAGTATAAAATGTTAACAAACAGGTAACGCATGCATTGATATGATTTTAAATGCAAAGCGTCATAGCAATTTAGGTATTTTTTGCTATTGAATCATTGTGCTTTAAATTTAGAAAAACTACAATCATTGTACCAAGATTTCCCTTTTTTTGAACCAAGACCAACTACATTTGAATCGAGGAAAAGGGAATGGGAACATTATTCAGATATGTCAAAAAATAAGGTCATTATTTTATATAGAAATTAATTGATTGTGCTAGTCCAATTTGTTAAATAATGTTACTATTTGTGATGTCGTCGTTTGAAAAATTCTATTTTTTTCACAACTGATAGCTTAAAATTTGCTGTGTTTCACTGACATTTTATATGATAGGTTTTTAACATTAGGCTGAAATTTCTGTGGCCATTTTGGTCATTTGACCTCAGTGTACATATATTTGAATATTGCTCTCTTGTTCTCATTTGTTGTCACTTTTTACCAGACAAAGGCTAGACGACTTCCTGACGTGGTTGGTATTGGAGTAAAGAAATGCGGAACCGATGCAGTGATATCATTTTTACGTCATCATCCGTTCATCAAGGTACCAGATGACGTGGAAACTTTTTTCTTCAATCATAAATATAATAAAGGACTGAATTACTACAGGTATAGTTATAACGAGGTTTGTTATTGATTTTGTTTCATTGAAAAATATTTAAAAAAATCAGCATTTTGCTCAGTAATGCACACTATAGAATTGCTAATATTTGGGTATATGGTATTTGAGAAGTATAAAAGTAATAGTGAAATTATGATATACTTACAGGCCTTTTATGCCTTGCATTACAGTTTATAATTTAATTGATTTGATAAGCTAGACTATCAATTCCATTTTGTCATTCGACTAGCAGATAAATGTTATGTCCCAGTTTTTGTATTCAGGAGCCTCATGCCCGAAGTTGCTGAACATGAGCTGATAATGGAGAAAACTCCCGCATATTTTGATTGTCCACCAGTTACCCTTCCTAACAGACTATATCGGGATATACCACACGCTAAATTAATTTTGGTTTTATGTGATCCTGTGAAGAGGAGCTTCTCGGATTATGCTCACGAGGTGAAAAATCTTCTTGCAGTAGATAACATTAAAGATTTTAGCGTGTAAGGTCGAGCACAATAAACAGCATTTCTGCAAACGTAACCGAGTGGTATAAACTATTGTTCAGCTCCGTTTCGATTTAATATACTTTCTTCGTTCTATTGAACGCCATTGTTTTGAGATACACAGTACAATGATGTCACATCATAATGATTCATTCATTACTCGTTGGTTTTCCCGGCCTGTCTAAACTACATTTGTGATGCCCCTAAATTTTGCAAGATAGTACGTTTTAGCATTTAGCATCAGTAGCTACGCGAAAATGAGTGGGCCGTCAAAAAATTTTCGCGTCTTGGTGTAAACTTGTAAAGGGTCGTTTATTGTAAGTTGTCTGATATCTGAAATCCTAGTGCGGCAATATATCACAGAATGTAATGTTATGGATATACCCCAACCTTCATCCTTTTCTTAAACTTATTCCTAAAAATTCCCTCATTTTATTTAAACGTTACAATGGCTGAAAAGCCTGAAATATCATTTTTTCATTCTTCACAGAGGGCGAGATACGAGATATCCTCGAAAAACCGGGACGTGGCAGAATTCGAAACGTTTGACTCGTATTTGGATTTTTATCTCGACAGAGTGAACAGATCCACATCTCTAAACACCTCAACCACACTCTACAATCATATGTCTAATTATTATAAAGATCACGCTGCTACGTTGTTAACAACAGGATTTTATTCAGTTTTTCTTCCTCGGTGGACTGAACTGTTCAACTCGTCACGTCTCATGGTTATCAGTGGGGAAGATATTTTGAACAATCCCGGATTGCAGGTAGACCTTTTTGAACACAATTTGAAATTGTGTTCAAAAAGGGTTTTAGGACTTTTCAACATTGAAAGCTGTCGGTTAAAATTGAAAAAAAAAAACGCCCAGTGAGTCAATGTAGCCTAGATATCAAGTATCGGCAGAGCTGCAAAGCTCGTGAAAGGGGACAAGAAACCAACCAGTCGCGGCCCGGATTGACCTTAGCTTTTCTTTGTGACATTACGTGTATAACGCGAAGCAGAAAATATAAACGAATACCGTAAATAGTTATTCGGGCGGCTAGCTCACAAATAAAACATCCGATTTCTCCATAACAGTGAACACAAGAATAAAATAAAAATGTTTGTAAAGGTCCAACCTGCGCTTTATGCTATATTCAGGTGATGTAACACAGTAACGTGACAGAACTCTTTAACTCCGTGATTAACTTACGCTCGTGAAAGAAAAAGCACGAAGACGCGTTTCATTTGCACTTGGATGCTGAATTAATGTATGTAGTGAAAAACTTATGAATTAGGTAATATTTCGTTGCAGATGGAAAGAATACAAGATTTTCTTGGAATACCGAAACTACTTCGTGAAGGTGACTTTGTCAAAAATCCATCAAATGGATTTTTCTGTGTCCGACCTTGGTGGAAGAACTACAACTTTACCGCTGAAACTAACTCTGTTGCCGGATGGGAAGAAAATCTTAGTTGTCTGTCGAAAACCAAAGGTAGAACCCGTCACAAAGACGGTGGGATGGATGCCAACATAAAACATGTAGCCAGGCTAAAGGCGCTTTTCGAGCCTTTCAATGAAGAACTGTACCAGATGACCGGTATTGACTATAACATGATGTAAACATCAGAAGATATTTCTACCAATTGCGGATATTTTGTTTGCCCGTCATATCTAATCCACAACGCTAACCCATACTGTCAAATATGCTTATTCTTATGTGCACTGTATTAGATGTATTTATGAGATTAGTTAACGTACCTCAACTAACACTTAAAATTGTGTATAGCAGTTCAAAACAAAACGCATTAGAAATTAAATGCTTTGCGACATTGGTTTGTTTCCAGTCTTTTTCGGTAAAAGCACGGATTGAATATTTGGTATCACACCTCCTTGGGATATTGTTACTCCTCCAAGTAGCTTATTTAATTCTTCGTCGTTTCTAATGGCAAGCTGTAAGTGACGAGGTATTATTCGGCTCTTTTTATTATCTCTGGCAGCATTTCCCGCTAATTCAAGTACTTCAGCACTGAGGTACTCTAATACGGCTGCGAGGTATACTGGTGCACCTGCTCCGACACGCTCAGCATAATTGCCTTTTCTTAGAAGCCGATGTACTCGTCCCACAGGAAATTGCAGCCCAGCTCGAGATGATCTTGTTTTAGATTTAGTCTTATTCTTGCTGCCCTTGCCTCTTCCAGACATGTTTACAGAAGTTATCCGACAATGCTAAATTAAGATCACCAAACGGACGACCCGACCGACTGTACCGAGAAATGCAAATGGAGCAAATAATTGACGGCGACGAATGTGATAATTATTATTAGTTTTAACGGTGACTGATTTTTGTGAAGGATGCAACAGAGCATGAAATATTGATAGAAACATGCTCGTATTCTTGTTCACTTACAAATAGAAAGCAGGAAGATTTTTCAGAAAAATACAAATAGAATTCAAACTTATAGTTATACTAGTTGGGATAAATCAAGGACCTTGTATTGAACGTTGATATTTTATTGGTAAAATGATATTTAAAATATGAACGCGCGAAGTGCAATACACAACATATTTATAAAGTTTTTGTAAATTACTAATAGCCTATAATGTATATATATATATGATATTAAAATTCATTTATCAAATGTTTAGTTTCGTAAATTTTGACATGAGAACTTTGATAAATTTTTTAAAAACCGGTATTTTAAACTTGACATTGTCAATCCACTTTTGTAAATCGATCCTACTGAAATCCTCATTGACTGTCACCACTATATATATATACTAGAAATGTATCGGTATCGACTAAATGTAGACCTGTATTTCCGATATATTTAGCTTTTTAATCTGATCCAGGAAGTTTTAAAAAATAAGTTAGAATACTGATGTTGAATTTTTTTTTCTTGGATAAATCGTGAACTATGAGCCATGCACGTCCCTACCCTCGCGAGTAGAAACGGAAATCGGATTCTGACCTATTTTTAGCTATTTATCGAACAAACTAGCTCAACTAATTTGGATATTTTTGCTGCCAAATTTTTATATTGATATTTTTAATACTATCTAGTAATTATGAAGAAATATATCAATTAAATATTATTTGATTTTCTAATGTGTAAAATACAAAATATGTCGTTATATTGGTACAAAATCCTGTAACTCAATGTATCAGTTTAATAGGATGAGTAAACATTCGTTTATTATTAACAACCCGCAGTAGCCAACACTATGAGTTTTTAAATTGAACACCGAGATTACTAGTGTAGGTGCACAATGCATCTGATTCAATTAACGCATCGGGATCCCAAACATCAATTTCTTATTATGTGATATATCTCTTTTTCAATCTGAAGTGCACTATGAAAAGGGCTATTGTTTTAATCCATCTGCCCTGCACATTTAATTACACACAATAATTACATAGTATCGGCTTTTTTGGATATCGGTATCTGCGTTTTTAGTTGGTATCGGTATCAGCTACAAAAGTGGTATCGGTACATCTCTACTGTAGACACTTCTTGTGTATCCATTCTTGTGTATGTTATATCCAGTGTTGGTTGTAAGACTCCTTCCTTTCAAGCAAGTCATGGGTCGTCCGAATCCATAAATAATTCGATTGCCGAAGCCGAGTCACTACACTCCCGAGTCCCAAGTCAGATATCAACATACGAAGAGGACAAATGTACATACTGATTGCTGAATTGTTTAGTAGATTATCTGAAAAAATACATTACTAGAGATAACTTTTGAAAATGACAAGACGGTAAAGGATAACGAGAGGAAACTGATTAAGAAAACTGGCCAACTTTATCGCAGCTGTTATATAAAGTCAACAATACATTGATCTTTGATATACTATTTTGATTTTTAAAGATTTAGCAAGAGCGCAACCGAGTTGTTCAATTATTGTGATCAAATCGATGTAGTTTTGGACTCATTTTTTGTGTTCAAGAGGTGAATAAATCTCAGTTGTGGTTTTTAATGAAAATTGCGGGATGGCATTCCTGTTCCCTATGACGCGTGCAATATGCCAGAAAACGAACCAACACGTCACTTCTGTATTATGGAGTCACTGGACGGCATTTAGTGCATAGCCTATGTAATTTAACGTCGGTTGCGTTGTTCTGTTTCAAGTAACGAGTTTGGGAATGGATATTGATGGAGACCAGCCTGGGGATAGGTGCGTTAACATGATTTTCTATTTTGTATGATCGAAATAAACCTAACATAGTATCGAACTTGACTACTGGACTGTGGCGAGGGGATTTCAATTAGGTGTTTTCAACCTTCCATCATTGTTACCGTATTCCACATCACTTTTTTGTTTGGCGTCATTTCAAAAAGCTACCGTACCGTACAGCTGTATGATGTTCACTTCGCTACCGGTAGACCCTTTGAAATCCGCCTCAAGAGTTAGACTATATACCTGCAATAAATACGGTATCATGTTACAGTGCAGCAGTGTTAACTATTTTCATACCGTACCGGTACATCTGCAGATCTGTACATGCATCTGCATGAGCTACTATTCAGATGAGGGGTTGTGGTTCACCATATTCGATAGTCTTATACTTGATCAGGTTTAATATCCCATGGGATAAGCATGAAAAAAATTGTATCGGTACCTGCTGACTGGTAGGGTGGGGGCCCTACTAAAAAGGTAGGTATCATAGGTATCACTCACTAAAAAGGTAGGTATCAGTAGTAAATGACTAAAAAGGTAGGTATCAGTAGTAAATAACTAAAAAGGTAGGTATCAGTAGTAAATGACTAAAAAGGTAGGTATCAGTAGTAAATGACTAAAAAGGTAGGTATCAGTAGTAAATGACTAAAAAGGTAGGTATCAGTAGTAGATGACTAAAAAGGTAGGTATCAGCCAGACTGGATTTCATGGCAGGTGCACGCCCGAGGGCGCTTGCGCTCCGCAAAAATGCACGCGAGCGAAATCAATTTTGCACGCCGAAAATTTGCAACTGCTCACCAATGTAAATCGGTTTAAATGGTTTTAAAATCAATAATCCAGTAATATAAAGATGCCAAAATATTATAACTCCACACTTGTCGACAAATACCAGCCTGCAAGATTTGGTCTGATCGAAATATTGCGAAGCAAAAAGACCATGGACCTTTCCCCAACCTTTGACCCGCGAAAAATTCCTCTCATTGGTACGTCCTTTTTTGCATCTTGCTGATTGGCCAATGTCACGAAGTAAACAAGGAAGTCGATGCTCGGGGAAAGGTCCATATCGTGTTGAATGATAGGAAATAGGAATCCCGTGAGAATAGTTATGGACGAAAAGATCGCCTCCGCACCAATGGCCAAGTACGGCTCTGATTCAGCGTATTTTTTATACAATAATTTTACACGAATGTACTGAACAGTACCGGTATCTAAAGTTGCTCAAACACTCCCAAAATTAGTGACAAAGTATGAAAATAATGTTTGGGGTCAAAGGTCAAACGTCCATTTTGCTCTAATTTGACGTATTTTTTATCCATTAATTCTACGTAAAAACACTACCAAAATTAATGACAAAGTATGTCCATTTTGCTCTGGTTCAACGTATTTTTTATCCAATAATTTTACGCGGATGTACTGAACAGTACCGGTATCCAAAGTCGCACAAACACTCTCAAAATTAGCGACAAACTGTAGAAATGATGTTTGGGGTCAAAGGTCAAACGTCCATTTTTTCTCTGATTCAACGTATTTTTTATCCGATACCGGTAATTTTACGCGGATGTATTGAGAGGTATCTGATGTCAAAGTCAGTTGCACGCGAGTGCAGTTGTTTTGCACGTCGTGAGCTATAATTGCACGCCAGGAATTCTTATTTGCACGCGGGAATTTCTGATTGCACGCCCGATTTCTCGTTCAAAAAGGCCATGAAATCCAGACTGGGGTATCAGTAACAGGTTAGGGTTAGGCGATAATTTTTTTCCAATTTTCCTTATTTTAGTCCTATTATCAGTTCGAAGACTAGCCAAGGGCCTCCCGTAGTATTTATACCTAAAATTATGGCCTAACCCTAACCTAGTACACATATTACATTCCGATGTCCGCCATCTTGGTTCGCATACCGGTACTTCGGGAGCCCCCTTTTTAGTCATCTACTACTGATACCTACCTTTTTAGTCATTTACTACTGATACCTACCTTTTTAGTTATTTACTACTGATACCTACCTTTTTAGTCATCTACTACTGATACCTACCTTTTTAGTCATTTATTACTGATACCTATCTTTTTATGGAGTGATACCTATGATACCTACCTTTTTAGTAGGGTCCGTAGGGTGGTGCAGCCAGTCTGCGGACGATTTCATTCAAACCGCTATGAAAAATAAAAACTAATATTTCTAACCCGTTAATTTTTTCACCGTATGTGCATTGGCATTTATTCTACACGGTAAACCTCGAATTAACTTTCTACGACTAGGGATTAAAGCTATAGTCTACAAACCATCAAAGTACGACACTCGGAAGACGTATTTGCGACCGAACGACCAGTGTGCAACCGCGGATTTCAAGCCTTGAACATCGCTTATGCTGCGGTGAGACTAGCACATACGCAGCCATGTGTGAAAAAATTGGGCTTCTAATTGCACTTCTGACCGTCATATATTTTAAGAACATGGGTATTTCGAACACAACTTGTCAAATTATAAACAAAGCACCGCATCACAGCATTCAAACAGGCAAAAACACGGTGATCGCAAATTGGTCGACAAAGATATTATCGACGTATTGGAAATGGGCACCCCCCTATTCCCCCTCCTTTAAATGTTGAAACGCGAAACTTTGAAGATGGTTAAAAGAACCACAACTCTACCCACCTGCCAAGTTTCATCTTTCTATCTCCTATATTTGTATAGATTTTCAAGCTTTTTTGAAGAGACAATGGGTAGTTGGCGACATGAAGAAATGGTCCGTTTTTTTTCTTCGGGCGGGTTTTCAGTCGTAACTTTTTTGTTTGTGGCCGCATTTTAGTGTAATTTCGCAGAGCTACGAGGGATAAGTGGACGAAAATGCGTGAGAAATATTTTCGCGGTTCGTTAATTTTTTCAGTATTAAATTAATCGATGAAGTTGATGGCCGCAAAGTGAGTGAGCCAACCTAAATCCTGTTCCATGTTATTGATGAAAGATCAATACATTGATTGATTTTTCTCAGTCTGTCAGTGTTTTTTTTTAATGATTGATTACCAATTATAATATTACAATCTAGCAATTCATATCAGATTTTATATGTTTTCAGGAACTCTGAAGTAACATCAAATACAGAGCCATCCAACTCTATCGGTATCGAAGCAAATCAAAATTGCTCTGTGTCGACAGCAGCAAAAATGTCTTCAAACAGCAACCAAACAAATTTGAAGCAACAAGCTATAAAACGAAAAATAGAGCAATATTTTCATAGGCTGACTCAAGGATGCAAAAGAGAAAATTGTACTAATCCAAATTGTGCATCAAATCCTTCGTGGAAAAAGTTATCAGAAAATGATGCCGCACTAAAGGTAATGTAAATTGCATAGATTAATTGCTCAAAAATACAGGTATGAATTGCGATGTACTAGATGAGTATATGTAGTTGGTTTTACCAATTGATATCATATGCTACTCTTAGGACAAGATAGGATTTACATCTTTATCCTGGGGGAGAGGGAAGCCGATAAGACGGCGAACCACGGCATCTCGACTGGTCACCAGTCTATGCTGGTGCTGGGTATGGGATAGATCAGGGATGTCCAACCCGCAGCCGCATGCAGCCCACGGCAAGAATTCGTGCGGCCCACTTGAAGTTATTATATGAATACGAACATATAAACATATTAAACATGAAAATTTCCTGGTACGATATCAAATCTTACTAGAATTTAGGCTATAATTTCACGCGCCTCCGCCGTAAGAAAAGCGTTATTGAGCGCCACAGAACATGATTTCACAGAGGGCCACTCAAGCGTGCAACATCTGTGGCGATACAATGAATTTTCTACCCATTGTGAAGTCATCAAGGTTGAAGTCGCATACCGGTACTTTGTTTCATCGAAAACAAATCCACCGGTATGTCTGGAACAAAAAAAGATGAAGCTTGAGGATGACCGGAAATATCAAAAAGATTGGGAAGAGTTGTAAGACAACGATGTATGACTAATATGCCGTAAATCTGTTTGAAGTTGAGCTTGAAGTCTTATAATTTGAAAATTATGAAGTCGAAGCATAGGAATTCGCTGACGATCAAAAATTTGACAAGCCAGTTAGTCACATTGTGCGGTATCCGTTGATATTAAACCAGGGGTTCTCAAACTTTATTGGCCGCGGGCCAAAATTACAATCGGAAGGATGTTCACGGGCCGGAAGAAACATGTTTGTTTGACTCATAATGGCGTTTTTTTGTCGTATTGCCTCAGAACTGGAATAGTTCGTTGGCAAAGTGGACAAATCGCTGAAGTTTGATTCCATTTAATACAGAAATTGTCTATGTTTTTATTTGACATCTCGAATCTTTCTTACACGGATGAAAACTAAATTACTGCCCATAGGTAATCCTGATACCGGTACGTATAATTGAGATAACGGTGTAATCGAATTTCTATGATAAAGACTAGATTAAACTGTGATAATGACATAATAATTGGCGGTTTCTAGATTGCAAAAAGGTATAGAAACAAAGTCTGTTTCACTATTCCACTTAAGCTCGGCGGGCCATTTTAAATCGTTACGCGGGCCGGATTTGGCCGCGGTTCGGGAACCCCTGTATTAAACAGTTGAGCATTGGCAATCAATGTATCTGCATTTTGCATAAAAGTTGAGTTGAATTTCATGGTGCATGGTCTTTGTGTACATCTTGTGTTCAGAAATCCGCAAAATTGTTGTGCAATACAGGCGTTTGATTTAGCAACGCTCATATTCTAACGTAAATCGGAATAGGGTTGCGATTCAAGTTTGCTAAAAACGTTTGTGGCCCGCATTGAATTTCCCCATGTGAAAGTGGCCCGCGACACTAAAATAGTTGGACATGCCTGGGATAGATGCTTCAGATTGATGAAAGAAGCTGTGACCGATTGATGTCATGAACCACCCTACAGCGGCAAGGAGTCCAGCAATCTTTTTGCACATAATTATTCTCCACAGGATTCAAACCTGTGAACCCATACAAGGTAATCAGAGGAGGTGTGTTGGAAATTGTATTGTTAACTCTTGGGCCACACCACCAAGCACCTAATAGCCAACTTTGTTAGCTGTCGATACATTTGTATTAATTAGACCATTATTTTTATCTTATTCTAACACCTTACTATCTTTGGTCGTTTGAGGATGGACAATAAGTTTAAAAATATGATTGTTCTCATGTCATTGACTCATGATATGTTCTTTTAAAAGGCAATCAAATTGGTTCGTGAAAAGGCTGAAATTTGTTTATTACAAAGTGAAGAAATCAATTCATCACAGAGTTCTTCTTCTTCCATATCTGCTGGGCATAACAAATCTGAGAATGGAAGTACCGGGAATGTGTCGCTATCAGATAATATGCCTAGTGCTATGGACACCAATAATAAAACACCTTCATCCGATGTGGAAACAAAGCCACTCCTAAGTGAATCGAATATGGAGATATTTCGAGTGGAGGGTATGTTGTATGTTGTTAACTCGTTAATTAATTCTATGTCTAATATGTTATTAAACAAGAAATATACAGAGGCCCGGGATATGACTTATAGTAATTGTATTTTCTCTTTTTTAGGTCCTGTGTTAAATTAGGCAGACAAAATTTGACGTATTTGGTTTAACTATCGGTGGGCATATAGGTGTATTAAATGAAGTAAAAACTTGAATAAACAATGATATAAATAAAACAAACCTGGTCAAGATATATTGAGAACCGACTTTTTCAAAAAAAAAAATTGTAATTGTAACAGGAGTTTATGAACACCCTGTATATATGCTCTGTATATTTTTCTTCATTGTAGATTCAATTTATACCAATTTTTTATTAGTATGGTGGAAAATAAAAATAAGTGATTACTGAACTAGATTATATTTACATATCCTCGTCAATTCAATTCCTTCGCTAATGGCTGCCCTCGATTTTATTTAGATTTTAAATATCTGACAGAAGAAATGCTTGACGATATAATAAAACAATGTAAAGAGGAAGAGGAATTAAAAAATGCAGAAACTGGCAACACTGACAAACAAGACTCAAAAGATCCATATTTACCTTTATTTAGATCAATTACCGAAGTATTTTCCAACATGGAGGGTCTAAATAGGTAGGTTGCAGATTTACTTAAATTTCCAATAGTATAACCATATTATATTGTCACTGAAATTCTTAAGATTTTTTCTTCAATCCAAAAAGCGTATATTAGAAATTTCATTTGCTCTAATCCTCGGAATTCAATCTGGGCATATATCAGTTTATATTTGCAATAATTTTAATTTCAATTTTTACGTATATATTTAGTTAACCAATATGTGGAATTAACCATTTTTCAATTTGGAAAAATCCACAATTTCTAAGATCACCTCTTATACAAGTTATAATCGTGTGAGAAGGATTCTGTTATTTGTGAAATGCGATTTTTTAAATTAGACAATTTTAGATTTGGTCTACAATGCGATAATTATTAAAATGATCGAGACGAAATTGAATTAGAAGCAAAATTAGCAATTGTAAATTCACACTTTTTTTGATATTGTGCAATGTTTATGTTCAAGACAATTTAATAATACCTAACAGTCACTAAAAAAAAAAGGGCTGTTGTGATTTCAAAGTAGCTCCCCAGCTTTGTCTAACAATGAGTAAACATATTTTTCCTACCCATCTAACTATTTCAGGAGTTTCTTGCTCAAACCAGATGCAGTTTCAATTTCTGATGACAAAGTCTTGCCTGGTGACAAATCAGAAGCAAAAAAAGAAAGTAAAGATAAAATGGAGGTCGATTCTCAACCTGTCAATGAAAAATCAGAACCTAACCAAAGCATGGATATAACAGAAGCTGTGCAGGCTGAAGGACACATGCCATTTATGAACTTTCTACGTTCACTTTCTTCCGAAGAAGGGGACATTGAACTAATACAAGCCTCAAACAGCTCGGCACCAGGAGGACTACGCCGCGCCGGTGGTGTTAAGAAAAAACCTCTGGGTGCCAGACCAAAAAGAAACCACGGTCATATCGTTGTTAAACAACCTACCGTCGATTTAGAAAGCATTCGACGAGTTTACGGTAAATTCCGTGGCATTGAAAAAGCCAACATGGCGTTAGTAAGCAGTCTAGAATTTTTGTCATTAGATATTGAAGTACAATTGAATATAATGAGGCAACTCAAAAGCTCAACTGTGAATTTAAATGTTTTTGTCATAATAATGGAAAATCCGTCTCTCCATTCACCGGAATATTTAGAAATGTCTCTTCCCAGTTTTTGTGGAGCAATGGCAGCTCTTCCCATACAAGGACAAGCTGACTTAGCGAGGTGGTGGTCAACGTACGACGCCGAACGCCTAAAAACAATGGTTCAATGCTTCCAGCAATTAATAACTTTCAAGGTTTGTATCCGCTTGATATTTTTGTCTAATTTTTTCTAGCTTCTCAAAAATGTATCACTTGTCCTGTCCACATGACTTTCTGGTTCCAATGATATTTTCGCAGGTGTTTCGTGGCCTATTCACTTCGAGCAAACCCGTAGACTAACAGTTTCTGAATCATAAGGAGCTGCTACGTATATGTAAAAACTGAAATCTTTTTTATTTGATTTCACCTACACTAATCAATTTTATTACATCAAGATTTAATAGAGAAAAAGCAGATTTAAATTTTTTTTTCAGGTTTTGACGCGAAAACTATTCAATTCTGATTCTGAACACTTAGATCTTCACAGTAGTGATGTCGTCACATCAGCAGTAAAATGTCTTAAAATTCTTTACTATGCATCGTTACTCGGTGGTGAGATAGATAGAGAACATGATGAGAGAGGGAGTGTGAACAATAAATCATCCTCTACTCTAGGTGCTTTATCATCTGCTATGGGACTTGATAATGGTAAGAATTGACCTTGAAGACCAATACAGAAATAATACCAGACAGTTTTGACTCTTTGGATGTTGTTTGTTGGTTTTAATGTCCCTTTGTTCCTCTTATTGACTTATTCAAATGTCTCTTATCATAGTCACTTCGTATAAACGAGATCCAGCATTATCCAATTTGAAGCTACTTTATATAAAAGCGATACTTGGAAATAAATACAGCATAATGAAACCAGATGGGCAATGTGTTTTTTTGTGATGAAGTTTATTGATAATGCTTATTGCATATTAAAACCAATTTGTACTCCACTTGTTCCGCATTAAAATAAAAATATATGATTTCTTCATTATTTTAAAACAGTTTTTTTTTTCACGTTTCACCTTTTTCCTTTGAAACTTTCAAATTGTAATAATTTTTTGATCTGTAACATTCTTGTTTATGTTCAAATTGTCATCTTATTCGTCAGTGAAAAAAATATTCTATTTTACAGATGATGACTTGGATGGATTTGATAAAACACAGTGGAAAGAACCATTGAGTGATTTGTTGGGAATATCTGGCATTGACTCTGTTAAACCACTTGTTCCTTTTAGTGAATTTCAAAACGAGATATTAAATGAGACATTCGATGTAAGTTTTATTTCGTTAATATTTAACTTTGCTTGTTGATTTTACCATGTTGATCTTATCATTTTTTGCATATTAGACTATCAAATTAAACAAGAAGTAATGTACATATTTCAAGCATCTTCAGATGTAATAGTTTTATGGGTTTTGTGCAATAATGAATGATTTTTTTTTTGAAAAACAAGCGATTCAAGAAAATTTTTCAGGCGACTTGGTTTAGATTGCGACCCATAGGTGTCATAGACTACAGCCCATTGTCCACTTAAAAATCCAACCTGTTATGGGAATAACCAACCAAATGATAGGTTCAAATGCATGGACTTGGATACTATTGGAAGCCAAAACCAGCTAAAAGACCAGTAAACCACCCTGTAACAGCTATAACACTATATTCTCTTACTTTTTTCTCCAGGTATACAATGATTTCACAAACTACTTGACGGGGAAAACAAAGTCTGAAAAGTTTACTTTCATGCATTATCCGTTTGTCGTAAATACAGTCAACAAAACAACTTATCTTTTCTATGACAATAAAATACAAATGTTAAGGTTAGTGTGAAAATGGAAACTATATTATTTTGACTAAATTCTAATAAATAGGCCTTGGATGGAGAGGCAGCACAATCAAAATTGTTTCTATCTGTACAAGTGATCATTCACTGGTGTTTAATAAGAAGAATGGCTATATCTGAATAATTTTGTGTCTAAAATTTAGGTTGAAATTGTTTTTAGACGTTTTATTGATGATTTCAATGTAATCTAATCCTCTAATACTCAAAAAGAAGGTCCAACTAGTCTCCTTCTTTCAAACTGATTTTGAACTGATTTCAAAATGACTTGCTCCTAAATCCATTTAAAAATTTTCTAAATTATTTTTATTACATAGCTAATTTATCTAAATTTCATGTTCTTTTCAGTGGTCGAAGAATGATGTTATTGAGTAGTATACTTCATGGATCTGCCGTCAGTCCGTATCTACGATTGAAAATCAGAAGAGATCATGTGATTGATGATGCTCTTGTCAGAGTAAGAAACGATTTACAGTGAATTCCCGTTTTTGATAGAAAAGGAATTTAGGCCGACATGGGCAGTTTACCGGACGAGAGGCTGTGGTTCGCCATATGATTGAGCTGTCTTATCAGCTTTCCTCTCCCCCAGGATAAATATGTAAATCCTATTCAATGGCGGGTATGGGAACCTGATATGTGTAACTAGTGCTCCAAACGCAGTTAAGTCGAACGCTTTAGCTACTAGGCGATCGGATTGCAGACTATAGTTTGATACATGTATTTTCAGCTTGAGTTGATTGCAGAAGAAAATCCTAGAGATTTAAGAAAGCAGTTGTACGTCGAATTTGAAGGTGAACAAGGTGTAGATGAAGGCGGAGTTTCAAAAGAATTTTTTCAACTCGTCGTCAATCAAATTTTTAATCCTGATTATGGTAAATTATTTAATTTATTTTTTGTTTAGTAATTTCCATCTCAGTTAAACTGGTTAATTTTAGTCAATGACATAAATCTTCAGAACTTGCTTTCAATCATGGCTGGCAAATAAATAAATTTTCTTAACGGATGAGCATTTTCAGATACTAAATGAGGTTATGTTAACGGAATTATTCAAATTCGGGTCGACATTACACGAAAAATATATTTACCCACATCTACCCTTGTCCGAGCCACAAATACCAATATTTTGTTTTTTATGTATTGCTCGGTGATCAATCATAGAATTGAGCTTTTTTGCGAAAAAATTAACTTGGGTATGCGTTTGGTAAACACTTTTTGTAGTCAAATAAATCTCCTATTATTTCGAATAGTTCAATCAATTTATTTTGACTATTATTTATTATACGCTAACACAAATGTAATTGTTGTGAACTGCTTGTTTGAGGAAGTCTGATTTTGGTCAGACGTAACGCTACAGAAATACAAAAAATTTATGCTAGTGTGCAGCTGGAAACTTGAATTGCATGGTTGGTATTTTCATTCCGGCCGCAGCATCCTTGCATTATACGCATGCAGATCCACTAGTGCAAAGCACTGAGGAAGGATTGGAAGTTAGTCTTGTGTAACCTCTATTGATAGTTATATTTATTATACATATTCAAAGCAAAATGTACATGAGATTTTTCATAATTAAGTTTTTGTTCCAGGTATGTTCACGTATAACGAAGACACTCACTTGTTTTGGTTCAGTGCGCACTCATTTGAAAACAAAGCACAATTCACGCTAATAGGTATTGTGCTGGGTTTAGCAATTTATAACAACTGCATTCTCGATATAAAATTTCCTCCTGTTGTCTATAAAAAACTACTTGGAAAAAAGGGTCGTTTCGAAGATATGAAGGAATCTCATCCGGTATGCTTTATTGGTTTATAATGGTTTACATTACTGCTCTGATATTCGATGAACAAAAATGAATCATATAATTAGTATGTTCTGAGTTCTGATTATATAATGAATACGAAGCAGACGACTACTGTGGGTTTGAGCCCCATATTCAAATAAGCCGTCTGTTTCTCTTTTTGTTTTGGTTCGCATGGATCTTCTGAAAAGAGTAAAATTGTGCCACCTTCTCAATGTTAAATGTTCAAATTACAATGCAATTGTAATGAATATGAAGATTTTTGGCCCCCTAGTAACTGTATAATTTTCTTTCACTTTGAAAAACAAATTCAAGTATTGTACTGAGTTTCTATACATGAGCTATATAATTAAGTCGATCTTCCTTCCTTTCCCTGAGATAAATATGAAAATCTTATCCAAGTCTACAGCGCTATTATCAATGTCTGCAAGATTATGTTTTTTCTGTGGTTAGTCAAAGCTGATGCAATGTTTTCAGATGACATTTTTAAACAGTAGCTAGGCTCCTTATAAAGGGAACTTGTAGTGAGTGAAAATTCAACAAATCACCTAGATATGTGCTCAAGTATTACTTCAGCTAACACTAATCAGGGAATCGGAAAAGATGTCAACGCCACACCCCCCAACTGCCTCATCAGCATCAGCAAAATCACTAAGAACTGTGTCATATCTATATTTCTTTTCTCAGTCATTGTACCAAGGATTGAAAGGTCTTCTTGAATATGAAGGAAATGTTGAAGAAGATATGATGACAACATTTAGTATTGGATATCATGACATGTTTGGCACTTCAAGAAGTTTTGAATTAAAACCAGATGGCATCAACATACCTGTCACAAAAGATAATAGAAAGGTTTGATGAATTTTCATTCATCATATTAAAATAAAACGACAGAGAATTGTTCAAATGTATGGATACGAAGGGTGTATACTGGTACCAGTAAATCAAGCTAGAACCAGTAAAACTAACGAAATAAAGTGTTCCCATACATCATAAAAAGTGTTCCCATAAAAATGCTGGGTGAAATATCAGGCACCATAGAACCTAAAAACATTTGAAAAGTATTACAGAGAAATTGGATTTTTTCAATAATCCATACATACACTTTGGGTCCATTTTCATCCTGTAAAACGCTGTTCAACTTTTTTGCCTAGAATATATCACAAAAAGCATGATACGCGAAAGTGCGTAAATAACTTTCAATTATAATTTACAGGAATATGTTGAGTTATATACAAACTGGCTTTTAAATGAATCAATAGCAGAGCAATTCGGTGCTTTTCGACATGGATTTGAACTCGTTGTTGCAAAATCTCCTCTGAAGAATATGTTCAGGACTCAAGAATTGGAAATCTTGGTTAGCGGTAGTCAGGTAGGTTCTATAGAATATTATCTCCAGTTTCCAGTATTTTTAACAACTGGTTTCCCATTTCAAGAAACGACATTCTGTATTTTGGTCTATATCACGGTGGTCCAAACCATGGCACATGGGCCGCATAGTGGCCCACAGAATAATTTTAGCGCACACTAAACCAAGGGCAGATCAGTATGACCATTGGTCGATAAATCATTACCACTACTTGTCGAGACGGCCGCACTCTGTGCAGAATTAAATATATCTGGACATTTCTACTTCAATTGGGGATGACCATAGCTATAACCAGCTAATCTGAAAATAGAATATGTATATCCAGATCGGGTAATGTTCATTTAGTGAAGAACAGAATAAATTCTTGGAAGCAAGAATTTGAATCTTTAAATATAATCAATTTAGAATTGATTCAAAAATTCAATACATTTTTAGACATCCCTGCGTTCATTAATAAACTTTTGTATATACCGTATAATATGCTCGTTTTACCGCCAGATCTTGATTAAGGGCCCGTTTGAATAGCCGCCTGTGTGAACAGAACATGAAAATAAATAAGGGCAGGTGCTTGAATACCCGCCTGATGTAAAAGCTGATTTTTCAGTGGTAAAGAACAATAGGAAATAAGAAACGCTTTTGAATTTTAAGCGCTGGTAGATAACACTCACGCCTTAGGCGTCCAAAAGTCACAATTCTTGTTATTCTCGTTTAAATCATACTTGAGAACTGGAAATGACAATATATTTTGTGTATAATTTACTTTAAAAATAACAGCCGCCTGTGCTTGAATAAGGGCCGGTTTGAATAAGGGCCCAGTTAGTGAGTTTGGTTTAAAAAATATGGGCCCAGGCTACAAAACGAGCAAATACTGTACCTTCAACTATGAAGTATTTTTTGTGATTGAGCAAATACGAATATCAGTAATATTCTACTTTTTGTGAAATGTTTTCCAATGTGGAACAGAGCTATATAACCTTGGCTGATTTCATTGTTCAGAGACTCTTCAGTTAAAATATATCTTGTTTTATCGAGGTATGAAATTAAAACCATAATTATTCATTTGATAGATTTACGACTTCAATTCACTCGAGTCAACTTCAGATTACGATGGTGGGTTCACTAAAGACTCGCAATCAGTGAAAGATTTCTGGTCGGTTGTTCACGAAATGTCTGAAGAAGACAAAAAGAAATTGCTCCAGTTCACAACCGGTACAGATCGTGCACCAGTCGGTGGTCTTTCACAGCTCAAATTGGTAAGCTAATTTGCTCTCTGCTATCTTTCTCTTAAAATAAACTGTTTATTAACAACAGATTAACAATAGAAAAGCATATTGAATAGTGTGAATGATGTACTTTGTAGGGATGGGCCGTGATTCGGATCCGGACTCGAATCCAGGCATTTTTTGGACTCTGATTAGATTTCGAGTCCACATCATTTTTACAGAGTCTATAATAAATTCTGTTTTTACTAATTTACGTCTATATTTGTACTTTTGCCTATATAAACCTCACTACATACCTTAACTAGTTAAAATCCATGGTTAGATCTGTAACAATATCCCTCGTGTATATTATAAACACTCCTAATAAAAATGCGACGACAGATCCAGATAATTTACCGCAAGTTAAAAATTATTGGTCGCTTATAACAATGATGCTGCGCCTGTCGCCTTCAAACTATCTATCCGTTTTGGTATACATGTGGTACACAATAAAATATGTGTTAGTGCAATACATTTGAGTTTTTGATTCGCGTAAAAATGAAACATGGTCTGGATCAACCTCATCAATACTTCTTTTAAATCGAGTTTATTACGTGCAATCCTTTCTCTAAATAGGGAGCAATGGAAAGCATGGAGAATTTTAGAACGTTTACATGAACTACTAAATTGCAAGCAGATGTACCTCATTGTATTGACGACGAGTGGCATTTCTCTGCCATTTGCGCACGTGACATAGTAAATTTACGGCTAGATATTTTCGGAATTATGGGAAAGCATTGTAGTCAAAAGCTTTTTATTTTTCATATTGACATATAAGAATTTCTGAATAGCCCCCCAGAGTTGACGCAAGGTTGTTGGCTGGAAATCCAGTTCACGGCCAAGACACATATTGATGTTTACGGATGTTTACGTTTGTATAATGGCCTCCAAAAATGAGAAAATATATATTTTTAAAATGATTCAACAGCTATCTGCGAAACCATTAGGCAAAAAATAGGAGCTACGACGGATGTCAAAAACGTGTTTTTCTGCTTTTCCATTGTGGCGTCACGGACTTCGATTCGAGTCTTTGACCTATTACTCGGATTCGTCGAATCTCTGTAATGTCGGACTCGTCCCATCTCTAGTACTTTGTGATTGAAATCATTGATTTATCCTAGTCAATGGTATAACTGCATTGCTGGTGAAATATGGCTTTATTTATGTAGAATTTGAGCAGATTTTACTCTGTATTGAATGGCTGATTTGAGTCTCAGAATCACCACATATTGGTTTGTATTTCAGGTCATAGAAAAGACCGTATGTTTAATACAGTTACCCTAATATTAGATTTAGACCCGTTTCTACCAGGGCCAAACAGACCAAGTAGTTTACCCTTTGCTTCAGACATTTAAGCTGAAATTACCATATTCAGTGCATACTCATAGAACCGTGAAAAAACATTTTTATAGAATCAATGCATGGATAACTTTATTCTCTAGGCAAGATCCTTAAAAAAATTCTATTAACCTAAGCTCTTTTTCTTATTTTTTTATGGGTCAATTACTAATTATTAAAACCTATTTGCATTAAAAAAATAACACAAACCCTTTATTATTTGCAGGTTATTGCTCGTAATGGTCCAGATTCTGATCGATTGCCGACAGCTCACACTTGTTTCAATGTTATCTTACTCCCTGATTACAAAAATAGAGATAAACTGAAAGAACGACTTCATAAGGCCATAACTTATGCCAAAGGATTTGGAATGCTATAACATGAATCATAATATTACTAGTGAGAGATTGCTGAATACTCTAGTTATTATTATCTTTTATTCCGATTTCTTTATGCACTTTTAATGGTATCCTATCCAATTTTTCATGCAAGAGTGAGTTCCCAGTAAAAAAATTTGATTGGCATTTGCGCAGGTTGAAATTAATGCTTCTTATATTTTATTAAAATTGCTCTTGATTTGTGAACTATAACTGGGATTGACTTATTTTCCCGGAATGCATTTGGGAGCATATTAACAAGTTCCATTAGAAATCTGTAACCATATATATCGAAGCTTTGAACGTTTTTGGGTTTGAATATAACTTTGGACATATTGATTAATCTTTCTGTTCATGAATAAACTTTCTTGGAGTTGCAACTGTAAGGTCTGTTCGGTCAGGATGATAGTTGACAGCATATTTATGTGTCCGGCATAGTTTTTTTTTTATCGAAAAAACAAGACGGATAAACCAGTGATTACCCAGATTTTTCAAGTAACTGCATGATCGGGATCTGAACAACTGCGTTTTCAGTAAGTTTGTTTCTTTCTGGTATTTAATCCTGCTTACGCATATCAGATCACAAAGTTTGTTGGCTGTATCGGCCAGTGTTAGATGGGAAACTTGGTACTGCAGACACGATAATGGGGGCACAGTTAGGCCTAGTGGCGAAAGATGCCATTGGTCCTAGTTTGAACAAACAAATGGAAGAAAGTTTGCTTGCTAGGTACCAGTAAAACTTTTGGGAAGGCAGCAATAATATCACAGATTTTTTATTAATGCTGATCCTGCCTCTTTGTTTAACCTCGTGTATATACTTGTTTAATGATGACTGCAATAAATATTCTTATGGGTTCCCGACTTGGGCTAATAAGAAACCAATGTATACAAAGAAGCAGATACGGATTATTGTTTAATTTTCAGTGATTTAAAATATTTTTATCAAGATACAGAATTGTGAAATATACGGATTAAACAACAGTCAATATTCCACACCTTTCTTAAATGGAAAATACTTAGACTCTGTCACTGAAAGAAATTCAACAAATCTTTGGTCTTGATTCAAACTCATTATGAAATCCATATCAGTTTCATCAATTTCAAAATCGAAAACATTGAAATTTTCTTCAATTCTTTTCAAATTTGAAGATTTAGGAATGGCCAAAATGCCTCTTTGAATAATCCATCGAAGAATGATTTGCGCTGGAGTTTTTTCATATTTCTCTGCAAGTTTTTTAATATTTTCGTCCCCCAATACAATATGAATTTTCTTTGCACCTCCTAGAGACCTATACGCAGAAATAGTAACCCCGTTTTCTTGAGAGTATTTTCTCAATTTTTCTTGATTCAGCAAGTGATGACATTCAACTTGATTTGTAACAGGCTTGATCTTACAAGAATTGAGAATATTTTGGGTTTGTTCCTTATTAAAATTAGACAAACCAATACACCGTGCAAGACCAAGTCTTACACACTCTTCCATACCACGCCAAGTTTCGACCGGATCAATATCATCTTGGATCTCTTTTCCATCTTCCTCTATTTGACTGTCCAAACATACCTCTCCTTCAACTAGTGGTTTTGTAGACCAAGGTGCGTGAATCAAATACAGATCTATACAGCTAAGGTTCAAATTTTCTAAAGTTTTTCGTAACGCTGGAACCACCATATTTTCTTTATGGTTTGCGCTGGATAATTTACTAACAACAAAAATGTCTTCTCTTTTCACCATACCCTCTTTTACTTTATCATTTATGGCTTGTCCAACTTCTTTTTCATTTTTATAAACGAAGGCAGTATCTATATGTCTGTATCCAATATCTATCGCGGCTTTCACACAATTGTAACATTCTTCACCTTTTATCAAATATGTCCCAAACCCAACAATTGGGCATTTTACACCGTTGTTAAAATTCACATACGGCAAAAGGCGTTTAGCCATACTTTCACAGTATTACAGTCAGGGCTGGGGAGCTGGCTTAAAATCAGTGTGGCTCCAGCTCCAACTCCAGAGCCAGAGTATATTCGAGCTATGGCTCCGACTCCCAACTCCGGAGCCTAATTTTTTTAGCCCGGAGCTGGCTCCAGCTCCGGCTCCGCACACTATAATGTATTTGATAGTACCGCTAAACTTATCATTCACAAACAGTCAATGCCCCACTGTTATTTATTTCATGATTTTATCACACACTTGGTAAGGGAATCATGAAAAATCAAGTTAACACTTAATATTGTGAGTTTCAATGGATATCTTATATTACTATATTTCCCGGCTGTTATAGACCCCATTTTTTGGCCTGAGGCATCTTATTGGGCAGCTAGGCTTGCTTGATTTCTGTGGCCAACTGATCAGCGTATTTTTCGCAGATGTTTTCTCAAACATGATTTGTGTTAATCGTACATTTGGGTTGATATATTTTATTTTGTGAAGAAAAGATTTACATATAGGAACCGATAAAAGAGCTTAAACATATGGCGAACCACGGCCATACTTAAATCACATTTGTGAATAAGTATGTAACACAAATTTCACTTGGTAAATTGCTTTTGAACAATAGAATGACACTCTGAGCCCTATTCTATAAACTACAGTCGATGCAGGATAGAAAACGTGAAATGCAATAATCTTTGTACATGGAATTTTGGAACACTCAAAAATAACAACTTGCCTATTAAAAGTAGTTTTAATTACCGTATGTATTCGAAGACGCCAAAGGGTCTGCTAATCATGATATTTAATTGACTTTGTATTGCCAGCTGTTATTTGTCATATTCCCCACAAACATTCAAAATGATTTTCACTACCTTTTCAACTTAAAATTACCACGTTGTTGTTATGAATAGTTAATTTTGTGCGTATGATTATACCAAATAAACATGATCTGTTTCTAACCATATAAAATTATTACCGCATGGCGCATATTAGTGCATAACTGACCAACAGAAAAGCAATTTTTCTGTCGTCTTATTGGATAGCTATAAAAATAGACATAGTCTTTTTTGCCGGGAAATACAGAATATTACTAAATTTTATTGAAATTAAAGTGAATAAAAACTAATTGAACATTGAATGGCCATCACATAATTCATACGAGCATTTAAAATGAATTTGTTCTTAAGAACAGTATCGCTTCTACTAAATCTTCTTTCATTGAGGCTCGCAGGTCCGAACGAATTATGCGCAGGGCCGAAAACAATCTTTCCACACTAACTTGGGTTGGAGGCAATGCTGTCACCATATATGCCACATTTTGAACTATTTCTGGATATTCTGGGATGGCTTTTAGAATATCCAACTTATATGAGCGATCTATTTTTTCTACATCATTTAAAGCATAAAAGAAGTCTTTTTTGAATTTGGAAAGCGGTGATAGATCTGAATTTGAGTTTCTACTTTCCTTCTCTGTTCGACGACGTTTGGCTTCAATGTCAAGGTGTTTTTCAAAATCTATTTCGCATTCGGAACCAGAATCAGAGGAGTTCCTTAAAGGCCCACTAGCACAGAGTGATTGGTCTTCAAATTGTGTAGCTCGTGATCCACGGTGCATTCGAACAGCTATATCACATAGCGCTGCCTTTCCTCTATTGAGCTGTTCTTCACTTAGGGTAACCCTGTACATAGGATCAACATAAATTGCCGCTAATAATACAGGGTTATCGAGGAGACATTTTTCTCTGCGCAGCATAGATGCTTTTATAGCATCTGCAATGATGCTACTGGATTGTAAAAGTTTATAAATGAGGTTTTTCCACTCTTTATAAAAAGACCCTGGTGTCAAATCTTGTGCCTGTAACCTTTTGGTGACTAAATAGGGCTCCCGAAGTAATTCTTCTAATTGATGTGTCTGTCGCCATTGCAAATCAGTCAAGGTTATGTCTGGATTGGCCATGTCAATTAAACTGTTTTTTATTTCTAAGAGCCGCTGAATCATTAAGTAGGTGCTACCCCACCTAGTGGCTTGATCTATTATTGCACCTTTTCCTGTTCTACGCTTCAATATAGCATCTATTTCAGGCGTCCTAGCCATGACTGAGGTTTGACGTAGCTTACTTAGTAAAGTGTGTACATGCTTTTCTTTCAAACCATCACGAATAGCAAGCTGAAGGGTATGTACTGCACACCGCATGTGCTCAATTGTATGAACAGCTGTTATGCTGTTTACAGCACTAACTAAAGCTTCATCTGATTCACCTTCATTCAACTCATCATCACGTTCAACCTCGTCCCCAATCATATCTGCATTAAGTTTCTCTATTGTTTTTGTCATGTTAGAGGCATTATCTGTCACAATCGCTAATATATGTTCTTTTCTAATTTCAAACTCTCTCAGAACTTCCTCAACAAATTTTTGAATAAATTCACTTGTGTGTTGAGCTTGTGTATCCCGTACTGATAATGTACGGATGGCTATTTCATTTTTATAATCCACAAATTGAACATTTATAGCGAAATAATTAGTTCTCTGTCTAGTACAAGCATCCATTTTCAAAAAACAAAATTTCCCATGTAATATATCCTTTAACACTCTTTTCTGACACTCGGCTTCCTTCACCACCATATCTCTTATATCATGTCTCTCCAGTGATACTCCCAATTTGTTAGCCATTTCTCCATTTAATCCGAGGAATGCTTTCGAAGAGAACAGTTGAAGTGCAGCTGCATTATTCACCACCAGCTGTATGATATGTCTCTGGAATTTTTCTTCAGTCATGGAAATGGTCACTTTTTGACTTGTGAAGTAGCTTGAGACAGAGGTTTGTCTACTTATATCGCTGTCTCTCTTTGTGTCTTCACTGTCTTCTTTTTTGACAGACTCGAAGGCATCAAAATGATGTCTTTCCAAATGCCGCTTCAAATTTGAAGTTTTATTGATGAACCTGAGATTGCAAACGGCCCCATCTTTCTTTAATACTTGGCAGATTAGTGCATTTTTATCTCCACTTTCTTTGAAATATTTGAACACTGCGGACTTTTTACTTTTGCAAGCCATGGTACAAGGGTTGCATTCTTACAAATTAATTTTCTCTAATTTAATATTAAATACTATTTAAAATGAAATATTATATTGTCATGAATGGCATTAAGATTAGGTAAGCATTTTCTACAAGCGAGAAATTGTATCGTATACAATATACATCAACTGGCCATTCCGACACTTAGGCATGCAAGCCAGCATGTCATATTTCAGCATTGCTTGAACATGCCCAGACATGTCTACATGGTCGTTACTGTTAGTTACGTCACAAAGGTAAATTAGCGATCGGCCGATCGCTTTTTTCTTGTCCACAATTGCCGATGTATTGCGCAAGCCACACCTGTACTACAATCAATTATTGCGCAATCCCGATTTCGACTAAATCCACTGAACACACTCCATGTGACCTACCGCCTCGCATCATTATATCTCGGTGCAATTTATGAGACGAAGACAAGAAAACAAATCGCATTTTTTTCGGAATCCATTTTACGTTATATACAACCAAGCTGAGAAAGCCGATGACCTAACCTTATATACGACACTTCAGATCTAAATTCGGAAATATTACTTAATATTTAGGGATTCCCAAATAGTCAAAACGCCCCTCTTTGCAATATAGTTTTGTTTTTTACTAGTAGTCGTTAGCGGCAATGAGGTTTTTTAAATCGCCGAAATCAAATTATTCGCAAATAATATTTCTGAGAAATTTAAGTCGTCTGTTTTTTTTTAAATCTACAAAAGTATTTTTAACACTTGCCAGTAAATACCATTTATTAGAAAAAGAAAAGCAGTGAGGAGTTGTAATCAGGTAATCGTAAAATAGCCGGTTGCATTGGCCACTAATCGACATCAATAAATATTAGTATACATATATATATATATGGTAATTTGATCGTATAGCAAAAAATGAATTAAGTGTGCAACCCCGTTAACGACCGCAACTGCTTGTAGTTCTCAAGCATGAAACTTAAGTTTCACAGAAAACAGTATATAAGAATGCATTACCGCTATTTTTCACGACAAAATAACTTTATCAGTCCATATGGCTATATCAAAGTATTCCGATACTTTTTCAAATTTTAAAGTAATAGTCACTTTTCGCAAGCTGTTTGTTTGTTTCGTTTCCGTGCAAAATCTTTGAAACGATTTTATGCACTTTGTCATGTGTTTTTAAGAAGACAAAATAGAATTGTTAGATTGTTTGGTATATATATTCATTTTTCAGTGCGCGTTACAGCATTCTTTCACGGTTGCGTGGTGGATATTGTCGCCATTTTCACATTTATTTCCAGTTACGTCGGGATATTATTAATTATGTAAAGTTATTATTAATAACTAAACGCACTCACTTTTAGAAAACCTTCCCGCAAAGCGTTTATTCTTGCCAATCCCGCGAGCGAATGGAAGTGAAATCAAAATTTGAATATTATTATGTTCATACGTCTCGCTTAGATCCAACCAAGGTCATATATTAAATAAGTTGTTTTCATACGTTTTGTTACGATACCCCAATAAACTTTCGCAAGTCGGAAAAATAAGTTGCTTTATTGGGAAGATTAGGAAAATATAATTTATACTTTTTCCTGCGCTTTGGCGAATAATTTTGTTTATAATATATATTTAAAAAAAACGACTTGTCAGAAAATAATTTTCTATTGTGCTAAAAATGTAACCCATTACCGATACCAGCACTTGCCTTATTGTTTTTATTCTGTTCAAAGTAACTCAATGTTGCGTCGACTTACGAAATAATGAAAGCATCTCTAACATAAATGACAAGCTACGGACGTAAAATGTGTGGAAAACTGCCCGATTATAATTAATTTTGATTCATATTTTTGCGATCTTGCCAAATCGGTATCGCCTTTTAAAAATACCAAGATCCGTGATATAATCCAACACTATTTACTTTAGAACAATAGTAACTTGATTAATTATACAACTATTTAGTTCTGTTAAGTGTTTGGAGACGCCAGAAATTATAGAATTAAAATCGGCGTAATTATTATTTCTCAACCCTAGAAATTATTAAAAAATCAAAAAAGTAAAAAAAAAAAAAAATTCTATTGTCAGGAGCTGGAGCCGCTGAAATTTCTGGCAGCTCCGGCTCTGGCTCCAGCTCCATCTATCATGGCCAGCTCAACTCCAACTCCGACTCCGGCTCCATCAAAATGTCACGGCTCCATGGCTCCAAGCTCCAGCTCCAGCTCCGACTCCCCAGCCCTGATTACAGTAATGTTCAACTGAAGTACAATATATTGGAAGTAATACTATAACCTGATAAAGCAGGATTGTGGAATATGACTCTGAATACAGGAATATAGTTGTTTTAGAAAGCTGCAAAACCACCAGACCATATGTAAAAAGGATCAAGACCTGAAGGTTGTTTCCAGCCTATTCCAGTTGCTTCAATGTGTAAGCAATGTAGTGAATCTGGCTTATATATTTTTTGCTTCTTGTACTGTTGTAAGACAGAGACCTTTCAAGCCTCAAGTCTGAACCATGGGTAGGATCATTGAATTCAATTTTCAGATTTTAAACTGTTGTAAAACTATTCATTTCTATGCGTTTTAACTCCCAATTTCCTATTAGGTTTTGCCAGTTTTTCCCGTTTTACTGTTTGTTCATCGTTATGTTTGTAAATGACAGTTACCTATGTCTGTATGTGCGTAGTCTTCCCATCACAAAATGTAATAAATACAGGAAAGACTAGTAGACATACTGACACGGTAATTTGAATTTAGTTAGAATGTGGATCATCAAAGTTCATGTGCACGGGCATAGCCTATACCGTACCTGTATGCATAACGGGCCGATTAACAGATTAGGAGATCGACTTTTCAAAAATTCATATTCTCATTTTCTGACTTTCTTAAATAAGCTAGTCACTCGTTTTCAATGATATTTTATGCTTCAACCATTAATCTACAACGCGTCTAAAACAAGCACTTTTCCACGAAAACCCTCAGAAAGAGGACACGTGTGTTTGTTTATGTTGTCCAAAGTGACTAGTCACTTTGATGTTGTCCAAATAGTCACTTTGATGCTGTCATTGATGCTGTCGGCTTCCAAGGGTTCTTGCATGCCACCTGCTGGTTTGTTTTATCGCTAGAAATAGATGTTTTCTGACTGTGGCGCGATGAATAACTTTAACAATATTTAAGACTCGACAAATCCTGTCTGAATAATTGGAACCTCTAATAGAGAATAGCAAGCCTTCCTATTGGAGTCAAAATTCTTAAGGCTGACCTAACAACGGTTACTGAGCAATTCCGAGTGAAGAAATGAAATTGCACGAAGACAACAATAATAACAAGAAGGATGATACGACTATGAAGATTATCAAAACATGACTGAACAAAGGTACATTAGTCCAGACAAGTTGTCCAGTTTGATATTAGAAATATATATATATAAGCTACGATGAAAAACCGCATCAAAATAAATTAAGCTGATGATAGAAAACAACGAACGATGTTCATAAGAGTCACGACGCTTTTACGTATTTTTACAGGAAAGAACACAAAAATTGACAAGCAAGACTGTCGAATGAAGTTTAAAATTATTAGTCATCGTTTTTTTTTTTTTTTTCATTGTTACATACAGATATCCGTTTGTATGACTCGATGTTAGACTCTTTTATGGGTGACGCTGCTCGATGACCATTTCCTGGTTTACCGCGTCTACCCTCATACTGATGCAAATTATATCAATTAGATAAACTTTGTTAACACTGAAAGACTTTTACAAGATGACACGCTTTAAACACGACTAAATCATAATACCAAACAAAGCCATATTTTTTACATTTCAAAAACCCAAAGGTGGCATAATAAACTCTTAGCAACAAGCAAATTTATAAAGCGCTATTTTATACCTATACCCCACGAAAGATATTCAAAAACTTATCCAAGCAATCACGAGAATGAAGCAGACAAAGCAAAGAGGCAGACTTGAATATTTGTTTATATTTAGTGGTTAAAAGATTTATAATATCAAAAAAATCTTCTATCAAGATACATAAGTGTGGGAAATATAAATTGTGATAGAATCAATGCTTAGTAACAACAGTCAATATTCCACACCTTCCTTAAATGGAAAATACTTTGACTCTGTCATTGGAAGATATTCAAGAAATCTTTGGTCTTGATTCAAACTCATTATGAAATCCACATCAGTGTCATCAATTTCAAAATCAAAAACGTTGAAATTTTCTTCAATTCTTTTCAAATTGGAAGATTTAGGAATGGCCACAATGCCCCTTTGAATAATCCATCGAATAATGATTTGCGCTGGAGTTTTTTCATATTTTTCTGCAAGTTTTTCGATATTTTCGTCCCCCAATACAACATGAATTTTTTTTGCACCTCCTAGAGATCTATACGCTGTAATACTAAGTCCGTGTTCTTCACAGTATGTTCTCAGTTTTTCCTGATTCAGCAAGTGATGACATTCAACTTGATTCGTAACAGGCTTGATCTTACAAGAATTTAGAATATTTTGGGTTTGCTCCTTATTAAAATTAGACAAACCAATACACCGTGCAAGACCGAGTCTCACACACTCTTCCATACCACGCCAAGTTTCGACCGGATCAATATCATCTTGGATCTCTTTTCCATCTTCGGCTATTTGACTTTCCAAACATACCTCTCTCTCAACAAGTGGTTTTGTAGACCAAGGTGTATGAATCAAATACAAATCTATATAGCGAAGGTTTCAAATTTTCCAAAGTTTTTTCGTAACGCTTGGTACCACCATATTTTCTTTATGGTCAGCGCTAGATAGTTTACTAACGACGAAAATGTCTTCTCTTTCAGCCATACCCTCTTTTACTTTATCATTTATGGCTTGTCCAACTTCTTTTTCATTTTCATAAACAAATGCAGTATCAATATGTCTGTATCCAATATCTATCGCAGCCTTCACACAATTGTAACAATCTTCGCTGTTAATCGAAGATGTCCCAAACCCAACAATTGGACATTTTACACCGTTGTTAAAAGTCACATATGGCAAAAGGCGTTTAGCCATACTTTCACCATATGAACTATACTCAGCTGAGGTAAAGTATCTTGGGAGTGATACTACTGTAAACGACCAAATGAAGTAGTGATGAGGATTATGATTCTGAATACAGGAATATATATAATTGTTTCAAAAAGCTACAAAACAAAATGATCAATGACTTCATCAATGAAGAATGCAATGTCGTGAATCAGGCTTATATCTTTTTTATTTGCTTTCTCCGAGACTGAAATCTTTCAAGCCTCAAGTCCAGAAGTCTAAACCCTGGATAGGCTCATTACATTTAATTTTAGACTGCTGTAAAATTATTCACTGAGTATTTCAAAACAGTAACAAATGGGTAAGTACTAAAGTAAGGTGATATGTGTATTTCTATGCGTTTCAAACACCAACTCCTTATTAGGTTTTGCCTGTTTTTGATATGGACATTGGTGTCTACATGCCGACCATCTGGCCCCGACTTTTTCAAAAAAATTTGCAGATTTTTACTTTCCAGACTTTCTTAATTATTTATTCACTCGTCTCCGTTGTTATTTTTAATTTAACCATTAGTCTACAACACGTTTGAAGCAAACACCTTCCCACGAAAACCTTTATTTGCTAATACTGTCGGTTTTTATAAGCCATCTGGTGCTTTATTTCATCGCTGAAAATAGATAAAAAATAGTCTTCCGAACGTGACGCGATATGAGCTACGATGAAATATCACATCAAAATATATATATTAAGCTGATGATAGAAAACAACGAACGATGTTGCAAAGTGGGAAGAATAAAACCAGCTTTTACATATTATTGGACACGTAGTGAACAGAACGATCGTTTTGTTGTTATGTTGTTTTTTATATCGTTTTGAAGAAATCGCTTTTCTCTTTGATTACTGGACTAATTGCTTTGCCCTGATGTTTCAATCCGCCCTTCGGTGAGTTACAACGTCCCCGCAAACGGACAGCGGACGGGTAAAGCGACGCAAGCTATGAGATGAAATTGGTTTTGGGGGGTTGAAGCTAAAATTTCACCGTTCCAGTTTTTTCTTTTTTCTAACTTAGCATTTTCAACGTGACAAACCACCGTCTGATATATTTCAGATATAGTCCACTGTGAAATATTTATAACGTTGTCGAGTGGATGTGCCTTCCGAATTTCGCCGTGGGATGATCTGAAGATATTTGTTGATTATGGGGAACAATGGACCGGGGTTCAGTGGGACATGCCCTACATGGCACAATTCGACAGTGTTTGATACAACAAGTGCTTAGAGACCTAGAGATGCGTTATATATTTATGTAACATTATGGTATATATCTTTCGACTCATGGTCCAATATGAAATATATTTGTGAATCAAAAATATTTCCAGATTTAGATTCGGATTAGAAAATAATGTAATTTGTAAGCGAATTTTTTGGTGAAATATCTGAAATATTTCGGTTAAACATTAATTTTAAAAATCTTAAATCTTCAAATTTGACGTCTCCCTGTTCTTTAGACGATTATGCTGATTGATTGCTTATTTTTAAAGGCATACTTCGTTGAATTTTAACAGAATGACCCATTGTGCCCCAGGGTCTGTCCGAATGTGCCACACAAGTGGGGTACAGTGGAACACTTGACAAACGTTTTTCAAAGCATTTTGGTGGTAAGATGTGTGTCGCAAGGGAATTTCTTAGTCGCTAAATAAAAACTACATTTACCCCTCTCTGCACTAATCCCGCAAAGTCATATGAATGTGCAGAATGAAGGACTCAAAATATGAAAAAGAAAAAAAGTGTCCCAACCTTCCCCTAACTATTTTTAAACCAAACAAAGCACTATTTTTGTAATGTGTACCAAGTTGGAGTTTGGCCATAATGCCAGGTACAAATACTACGGGAGTCACTTGGCTAGTCCCTGAACTCATAACAAAACTAAAATTGGAATAAAATTATGGCCAAACCCTAATCTCGTACGAATACTACGTCCTGATGTCCACTATCTTGATTCACGTACTTCGGGAGCGCCCTATTTTTCACATTTCAAAACCCCAAATGTGGCTTACAAAACTCCTAGCAACAAGCGAATTTATAAAGCGCTGTTTTATTCTTATACCCGACAGCGGATATTCAAAAGTCTGTCCAATCAATCACAACGGCGAAGTCTGAACACGCGTTTATGAATCATTTAGCAATCAATCTCCCGACGGTGCATATTCTAAAGGAGGTCAAGTCTATTAAGACTGAGCCCGCGTTTAAAAATCATTTAGCAATCAATCTTACTATATAAAAGGTCTCATTTTAAAAGAGGAAAAATGTTGAATCAGCCATTCGAAGAAGTGGACCAATGAATCGTTTTTCAGTGGTTTGAGTTATATTTTCCCCTAGAAAGCTAGTACTTTTGTTTATTTCATAACGTTTTGCGGGCTCTATGTAATTCGTTTTTCCCTCGGAAATTTTGTGCGCTGACCATTTCGAAATTGATACAAATCATTTGTAACAGTTTTTCTAACTCTCTCTCTTGACGGTACCGGTTCTGTAAAGGTCAAGTTGACGACTGCTTCGATTTGGTCTTTATGTCCATATATTTGAGGATCGCTCTCGGTTACGGCTTTCCCCCACCATCAAGACTAATCCCATACCCGACATGGAATGGTAACCGGACGGGAGGCCGTGGCTTGCCAAATGGTCAAGCCGTAATATCGGCTTTCCTCTCCACCGGGATAAATATGTAAATTCTATCCTAAATGGCACCTCGTCAGTAATATTTTTCCCATTTCAAACACTTAACCGAAATTACCATTAAGCATCGCTGGTAATTTGACAATACCCAGTAGTCTCATTCAATTTCAAGCCATTTGCAAGTTTTGATCGCATCATATAAGCGCGAGAAATTCACTGATTGCACACCGTAGCTCAACAACAGGCCAACTAAAAGTAAAATAATGAAAATCATGTCCAGCGCTATTCCGCGCCCTTGGAGCATTGCTCATTTGCTGATTAATAATCATGAACATGACAAATAAATTGAAGTAGCAAACGAATATCAAATCGACATGCAAAAAACCTAGCATTAGGGGATTCATATATGTCATAAAATGACAACAAAAAACTTCCAGATCGGTATGCATTTCTTTTGCCAGTAAAGTCGATATATTGCAGAAATGCACAGATTCATAAAAGCAAGCAATTCTGAAACCCATTTTATTTTCCAAATTATTCACAAAGTAGTAGTGCCAAATAATGCCGTTATCAAACAGTATAAAAAAGACCTGCAGTGGATTCTTTTGATCGTTGTTTTGCAGCTTACTCTGAACAAGGTCATTATAAGCAGCAACTACACAAAAAAGTAAGCGTTATGAAACAAAACCGGTTTGATATTCAGTTAATAAACGTTTCAGAAATTTTGACAAATCCCCACTTATATCAGTAACAGGAGTTGAAAGAAAATGTACACCATGTTTTATGATTTCAGAATATGGCAAAGACATTTGATCAAAAATATTTTCATCAGACGCTACCATCATTTCTACATTTATATTCAAATCGGCGGCACCGTTTAAAATTGATTTTGAACATTCTGCCTCACCATTCGCAACCTCAAAATGCAATGGCTTTATCCATGATATTATTTCACATAGGATGGATAAAATTTCTATCAAGATCTTCGTATTTATTGTTTGTGATTTTGACAACAAAACTGCGGTATGAACAGCATGTTTTATCCAAATATTTTCCGAAATACTGTCAGAATCAACGACATGTTTCCTCAGCATAGTTGGTGAAGTGCAAATCGCTGCAGCAAGCGAGACGGCAACCTTAAAATTAGAAACATCTAATAAGCACACATGAAAAATGTGTGGCAGATATGGCATTGTGTAGTGAGAATGGATTCCAAATGATGGATGAAAAAGTACAATGCATACTACTTGCCCAAGTTGTCAGTGACGAGTCAAGACATTAATATTGAAAATGAAAACTTGAGCCATTTTTTGTGCAAAATTGACTAATATAGTCTTGTTTTATAATGTTCACAATGCTTTGGCATATGGTGGCCCAGGTTATTCGATCTAATTTTAGACATCTACATTTTCTAAATTAGAGAGTATTATTTAAATGTAGTCAGATTAAGCAACGTGTCAACTTGTTTGAATACAATTCCAAGCACTTGATATTTTATAATTATCATGGGGGAAAGAAAGACCATCAAAGCTCAATCATATGGTGAACCACGACCTCTTGTTATATCCACTGTACTAGTCAGTGTCAGGTATGACAATAGTTAACTAATTATTTCTTTCAGATGAATGGGCTTGATGGTAGTGGAAGCCAGAACCGACCAGCAGGCACATGAATCAATAACCAATTTTGCTTATAACAAAACTGAGCTCCGTTTATTAAGTTAAAACTCACTGAGTTAAAACTGAGCTTACAGTCATGGAAGTAAAATTTAACTGAACTCTTTCCGGTGAGTGCGCTCAAAATATTGTTTTGTCATTTCATTGAAATAATTGCAAAAATATGTTTAGATGGCTTCCATTCATTGGACCTATTTTCATACAGGAACTAGACTGGTGATCAAATAAGATGCCGTGAAGCCCGTGATATGTCATATCACATGGCTGTTTTTATCAGAATTCCTCTTCTCTGAGATAAATATGAAAAATTCTATCATAACCTAACAAGAAAATTGAGAAAAACCTGGAGTGAAATCCTTGATTCAGTTGGATTATCCTGTTGATATTGCATTGCTTCATTATGAATTTGAATAATGGTTTCTGAATTGAAATCGTTCAGGATTGAAGCATTACTGTCACCACTCTCTTCAGCATGTTTTCCCCATGCTAGGAACAATATGTTGTGAAATGCTGATGGCAGTGAATAGTCTGTGAAATATAGGTAAGTAAATAAATACTGATAAAAATCAACGCTAACTTTAGGGACCGAGAAACATCATTTTTTTTTTTTTTTTTGAAAAACCCACTTGTTGCATTTACAGTCTGGGCAAAAAATGAGTTTGAAGAATCCCAATCTTCTTATTACATTCCTCTCTTTGTCTATTTTAAATCTATTTATTCCTCTTTGACTATGCATAAAAACTCAGTTCCCGTTATTTGATAAATCTTTGAAAGATTCTTAGCTGTTGTTATCTGTAGCTCGCATTCTGGCTTTTGCACAGTTGGGTAGTTTGCAATATGTACGTGAATATGTATTTCAACAACGATAAATATAAAAAAGGACAATATTAGTAAAACTGCAACAAATACAACGAATATTTCCTCCCGAAACAGAGCAAAATTCTTCCCTGGGAAAACATGAACAAAACATTTCCTAAAAAAGCATTTCATTTTGAAAATATGTACCTTTGTGATAAAAATCTGGTCCATTCCAATTCGATCTTCTTGTTGTAGGTAATTCCCTTAAACCAGCTTTCCTGATTAATCTTGATACCAATATTTCATGGACAACAGAGATGAACCTGTAAGTTGTGAAGAATGTTACGGTAATAAGGTATATATATTTCCATATTAAAAAAAAGAGATTTTTGGAATACAAAATTTGAGAAATCACTGTTATTCTCAGACTTTCTATCCTCACAAAAATTCGAGCACAAATGGCGATTTTTCAGAGCAAAAAATCCTCTACATGAAAAATGATGATGAGAATCTTTCTAAATCATAACAGAATTTTTACATCAAAGACAGTAAACATAAACCCAAAAAGGCAATCATAAACAGAGGGTAATTCATTGGAATCTATCGATAGTTCATCCAAGTTAACCATCTTTCATGTTATAAAATATAATTAGTACCTGTAAGCTTTTAAATTATGGAATGCTGACAGGAATTCGTTGTTTTCCAACCAGTTCCAAGTCCGAAGGCAAACTGTTTGAAGAGCCCTTTAAAATAGTAAAAAAAGTTGAGCTGAAAAATCAGCATATATCACATGTAAACACTTTCTTCATTTCAAATTTTATTTGACATCATTGCCATATCCATTACTAATCAAATATTCGCATAAATTGGACATTTGCTATATTCAATTATGATTATAGGTAGAATATAGATTTTTTCTTTTCAAATTCTCAATTTAATTGATCAGCCAAAAAATACACTTCTTTTTACTCCTGACACTGAAAAAATAGAAAATCAATCAGAACAAAGTTTATTCCATTTCCATCAATATACAATGACTGCAAAATTCTCTTTTGAACACAGACCAACTTAGAACATTTTCCAGATTCGAGAATATAGACAGCATAAAATTTTTTTCGATTACAGTCATTTCTTCAATAAAGCAGCATACCTATTTGCATATCCAGATGCAACTACCTCTTCATTGGCAGTTTTTGCTACGCTTGCTGCTGCCCACAATGATGATACGTCACTATCAGTTATTGTAGATGCACCAGAAGTTGCACGCTGAGCGAGTGAAGCTGACGCCTCCTTAAAATCTCCTATGGCAGCAAAACACTTTGCAGCAAGTTCAACTGATCCTCCTAAAAGATACAATTTCAATATTTATACAAAGTCCAGAAAACAGCTCACCGGTAATCATAATACAGCCATTCGTCCGGTTACTAGCCCATGTTGGGTATGGGTTTAGTAAGCCAGTTATTCATTTTGGATATGAGCACATGATTTTCTGTTTGCCGCAGTTTAACACTTCAGAGGAAACATAGCTACCACCCCCAGAAATGACTAGCTAAAGCTCGGAAAGTGAGCATGACTACAGGAATTGAAATATGACTAACATCAAGGTCGAGGTACTTAAGGTATTAGGATTATTAATATTACCAGTAAGGGTTAAGACTCAAAAGCAAGTATATTTCAACCCTGTGCCTATCGCAATCTAGGTCACGTTTTCATTCATTTTCCGTGGTCAAGTCATTATAAAATAGGATTGTGAGAGTCAAAATCCTATTCCTAAACGCAAATAAAATTTTCATGGTGTATAACATACGCAATGCCACCATGAATATGATACATTTTAAAACTCAAAATTTTCAAAATTGTACATATATCATGTTCTTAATTTCCTAATTAATTACCTACTTATCAATCATGTTATCAAAGGTGTTCTTAATTTCATTAATCAATTACCTATTTAATTACCTGTACTTACCTAATTAATCATGTTATTCAGATTCGCTCATTCGCATATCCTACAAAAAACTATAAATATACTATGAGTGATGTCATAAACATGGTTAACAGTTGCCAACATACCGCTTTTCAACTTCTGTCCCCATATTCTCACTGTTTCCTTCAACAATGGGTCTTCATCACAAAGACGAGCTTTAGCAAGTGCAACTGCTTCTCTGTAATGTCGACTGTCTAATAATACTTGTATTGCTTCTTGTACCTGAAATAGGACATAGATTATGTATAGGGACATCTGAATTAAAGGATCTTCATTAAACATTAAAGTGAAACAATAGCAATATGAAAGAAAATTTTGAATAGATGACAAAAATTATTCTGTTCATAAAAATATGAAATGAATTGTATTCTAAAAAGTACTACTTTGAGGTTGACTTTTTACGATTGTCTAAATTGTCTAAATTAGTTGACAAATATCATTGTTTACTTTGGGATAGTTTGACGATAAATACCTGTAACCATGAGTGTTATTGGTCGACTATATGGAACCTTGCAGAAAACAAGGTTGCAAACCTTTTATCATTGGTTGGAGCATGCACAAACTCTTATACATTTAAAAAAAATCAAGATTATTTACTTTGTCACAGACTAAGAGATAATGTACTGCATGTAAATGATGATCTTCTGCAATTAGTTGTTTCGCGAATGCATGGGCGGTTTTACGCCAGAATGCTTGACCAGCAATTGGTGCCATGGCAACCAGTTGATCAGTCAGTTGCATCTTTTCCTTTGCATCTTCAATGGTACCTGAAAGAGAGAATTTTGATAATATACGTGGAGTGGAATTCAAGTTTTTTCTGTTTAATTGCTAATGTTAAATATTTACAGAAAAATTAATTAATTTTACATGCATGGAAAATTAAATAATGAAAAGCTGAAAATTTTTCAAAAATGGCGATTGAAATTTCCATATAGGTAGATATATAATATTAGATCCCTATTTATTTCCGAGCCTGGACCTAAAATAGTTAGCAAAAAAAGGATTTCTAACATGTAGTTTTTCATAAAATTAGTAATATAAAAAAAAAAATCATAAATGTTTGCAGAAATATTAATTTCTTTTCAAGTATATGAAAAAAGAAATAATGACAATGCCAAAAAAATTTCAAAAACAACCCTTAAAATCCCTATAAATCCTTCAATATAATATTGGATCTTTATTTATTTCATCAACCTGAACCAGCCTGATATACTTAACAAATAAAGGTTTCTATCAGCAGAACTAACTAATAAGAGTTATGTTGTTTTAGTAGTGAATATTCAAATGATACAAATACTTCGTACCAACAATATCACCCATCCAAATTCTCAGATTGTAATTTCCCTCAGTAATTTCATCCCCTTGAAGTTTGTCTGCTTCGTTTTTCATCATCCTAATAAAAAACAAAGGCTTTTATTTTATTTATGTAACACTGAAATATTGTTTCTTAAATGTGAAATTGTGAAAAAACAAGCTCGGCTTTCGGCGCATCATGCTTTGCGGGAAATATATGCTTGTCATAGCACTTCTAATTACCCTGTGTCAGTTTGAAGGTTCGAATTATGTGGATTGCTGAACTCCCCGACGTCATAGGGTGGTTCATGTAGCCGTGAGTTAGTTACGGCTTCCTCCACCACCAAGAAACATTTGAAGAAACAACTGGTTAACTATTCCCACACCAGACATGAACTGGTGACCAGACGTGAGGCCATGATTCGCATACGAATAAGCCACTTTATCAGCTTTCCTCTCCCCATAGAGTGATTTTTAAATAGCCTGGATTAGGAACTCCTATTTGACTATCCATTCATTATTTCATAACTCTTATTGAAGTTAGCTAATATAACATACCTAAAGGCAGCCTTCCTGTCAGTATAAAAACCTAAATTGATATTATCAGAAGAACCAGGTAGAAACAATAAACTGTCTTTAGAGTCAGATTGATCTTTAGTGTTCCATTGAACTATTTTAATACAATCTTGATGTTGTTCCGACTTTTTTCTATTGTCCTGAATAACATAAAAAAATAAATTTGCTTAACAAAGAATATAAACATTTGGGAAAATAACAAACAAAACAACAATATTTTCAACAAAATTGATATCATTCAAGACAATGAAGTATAATATATGGAACTTATAATATATGGAACCAAATATAGTCTTGAAAAAATTGAAACACAAAATTCTGTTTCATAAAATAAACGTGTACATATGGCCATTGGTAATATTCAAAAGGATTACATTTTAATTTTATATGGAAATCCTTCCAACAAGTTTATCAACATTACCATTGTCACAGATTGTGGAAACATATTTTTCAGTCTTCTCTTGCGTCTTCCAAACAAATCATCATCAGGTTGTGTGCCAGATTTTTTCATCATAGCTCCATCCGACCTCTGTGTTGAAACCAACTTTATCCTCGAAGTCGCTGGACTTGATTTTGATCTGTATACATGTATCAAGAATGAAACCTATGATATGTTATTCTATCAAAATGGGAAGATGGTGTAGAACAATAGTTCTCAAACTTTAATGAGCATTGGCTCCCTATCAATTACTCTCCAATCCCAAGGCTACAGACTCTTCAATAAAAAAGCTATTCGAATAAATGAGAGAGAAAAAATTCTGTTACAGTTGAGGAATTAAACAAATCAGAGTTAATTTACTTGGGTTAATGTAGAAATTATAAATCTTATTGAATAATGTTTTTACTATGAGTAGAGTGTCCCTGTTGTATTTGGACCCGAATGGTCACCAAATATACATACAAAATCATTTGGTTCCAATATTTAAAGTTGTGACATTTGAGAAATTTAATGATTTATTACCAACTTATATCTTACCCAGGTGACATTTTCCCAGTTGGTGATGTTTTTGTTTCTACAGATACATTTTCTGAACAAATAAAACAGGTATGATATTACATATCTCACAAAAGCATAACACCATCCATATGCTAATAATATTGTATAATTAACTTACCTTCTCCCTGTCAAGAACGTTGTGACATGATGTTTTGATAATTGTCATGCATGCAAGTTAAATTGCCAGTTTAGAAAAGAACCTGATATATGAGCCTATAAACTGTAATTCCAAGTGCCAACCATGTGGCAGTTTAGGATTTGGGCAATATTAGAAATAACTTTGGTTCAAGATGTTCATACTTTAGCAATAAAATGGAAAACAAAAACAACAGTTGAGTTGATACTGAAAAACAGAAAACGTTATAGAATTACCATTTTTTTGCACAGGAAGGTCGCAGTTAATGGTTGCCAACAATTCTGCCTTTTTCTTCTCTAACAAATAATTCAAGTCAATTGAAGCCTCATCACGTGACTCTACAAAAAGTAATACCGGTTAAAAAAAAAAGAAAAACACAGACGTACAAAAATGTAATCTGTCATAGTAGCCTAACAGTACTGTATTGCAGCTGAGCAACAGAACTTGCGTGAAAGCGAAACCGCCATGAGGAACGCAAATATTCATTTTGATGACGTCATTGCACACAAAAAACGAAATCCATAATGGCCACAGGAATTTTTTGAATAAATACAAGTGATAGCCTTCCATTGAGTAATACAATTTTTACCCACTGAAAACTTCAAAGCAATTGGTCCAGAAGTTAATGGAAAAGCGATATTTTCCCAAGAAGAAAAGAAATACTAACATCATGATCAACAACAACTAAGTAACAAAACGATCTATACCTACGGTAAGTCATGAAGCACACAAAGACAGTGCTAGCTGTACTTCACTGTACTTTATTGAGCAAATGGAGCTGGTTGCCAAAATTAATGTAGCCTATCACTTCAAATCCTAGTTACTTTGAAATTTTTTATACACCGCTCATTCATGTCTTTTGCTCAGAACAAGACCCCATAAAAGCAGTATTAATAGGTAACAACTAACAATATGTAAGAAGTTACTGTTATTTGAAAAGATGATATCTTTCCGAATCGGCATCATCTGCCCATTTCATTTCACCCTGGGTAAAATGGGATTCGAACCAGGATTGTTTGATCTGCGATGCCAGTTAAGTAGCATTTATGCAATTTTACATAGAATTTTCAGAAAGTTTGTAAATACATCTTCACACAAACTCCAAAAGCAATAAAAACTCCAAACTTCCCAGCCCTGGTTATAAGTGAAATCATTACCACCAGCACCAGGCACATCTCAAATTTGAAAAAGTTAAAAGAACGCTAACGGCCACCGCCACCAATTTATAAGTTTATCTTAAAGTCCTATCCACAGTAAAGCAGGGTGATAATAATTTAATTTAACTTACCAGTTCCAATTCCATTAACAGTGGTATCAGTATTCTGTTGCAATGATGTAGTTGGTTGTGTTGAATTTTGATGAGTTTTTTTGTTTCTTCCTTTCTTTTTATTTTGAAATTTATTTTTTGGACCAAACCCAAAATCAGGAAGCGCTAGATAATAAAAATACATATACCATGAACACCAAATTACGAATATGTGATTCAAAAAAGACGAAAACTTCAGGAGAAAGCTATTTACTTAGCAATAGACAAACTCAGTAATTATCAGGTTTTATTTTTTTATTACTAGACATTAAATGTTCAGACGTACAGTCAGAACTGTACTGTTTTCTATTTTAAAAATTAGCTGACTCAATAGTGTCAGCCTTTACTTCAAATCAAGAAAACAATAAATTCGTTATCTGAATTGATTTTAGATAACAGGTATTCAGCTAACCATCGAATAAATTCTGTGTCCAGAGAATACATCCCCATCATGCCTATCAATACTGCGAAATGCAAATATCAGAAAAAAATTTTTGACGAAGTTGCTATGTCAAAAAAATATCTAATATAGATTTTCAAATGATGAAAATTAGTCATTTTCCATTAAATAATTATAAAATTATGTAAACTTCGTCTTAATCACATAAACCATGAGGTGTGTGCTATCATTCGAGTTTCTAGCCTGACTTATCCTTCTTCTATGCTTTTGCGCCGGTGGATCCATATGCATGTGATTCAAGCATGCTGTAGAAAAATTGATTATGGATAACTATTCTAAGTGATACAGTTTTAGTGAACACTAACACAAATGTATTTCGGTAATGTTCCATCTGACAAAGTTCAGACTTTCTAAGACATACATAATTCAACTACAAAAAGAAGAGAAACGCTTTTCTGAGAAAGTCCGACATTGGTCAGATGAAATGTTACAGAAATTATTTATGTTAGTGTGTGACAAGACCATCGAATCATTGAAAATTATGAGGTTACCCTAAAAAAAATTTTATTATACCTTTTACTGGTTCAGTATGTTGTTGATCATCAGCATACCATCCATGTACAGTATAGTCATCAGCACCAGTATAAATGATTCCACTTGACTTTTCAGGGTTTTGTTCATCAATAACAGAACTCCATATAACGCACATGAGACGACCATGATGCCCTCGGAAATTATGCAACGGCTTTTCTGTTTCTGTGTCCCATACCTATAAAAAGCACATTTAAAAGTATTATAACTGAAAATAGAGAATGATCCTAAAACAGAACCTTTAAATTTCCAAATTACTTCTACGATAATGAAGAAAATTTATTTAACACTTGGACTTCTGCTTGTCTATGATTGTCAACCAAAGTTTCAGTACAAGGACAATTTGCACAAAAGTTATGTTCTCTCTAGAATATGTTCCTAATGACCCGGTTTCTGTTTTTCTTATGTCACTCTGCTGTACAAACTTTTCCAATATGACTGGTAATATTGTCATTTGACAACTAATCCGGTGTTTTTGTTTTATTATAACCCATATTAGTAGGGTATAAGATTGTTTATCTTTGGAACGGTCAATTTTGTGAAAAAACACATTGGCAGTGTTAGTTGTCTTTCTGCCAACTACATCGTCTGCTCAGAGGGGTGAGAGTTAGCAATTGGGTGTGATTAGACCTATATCCAGGGCTGCCATAATGTCCTTATTACTTATCGATTTTAATCGGTTGATAGGTATTTGTCTGTCTGTAGGTCTGTTTGTCTGTTAGATGCACGCGATATCTCACAAAAGCGAGATTGAATCTGCTCCAGATTTTGCATGAGCATCCATCTTATCTCGGACCATAAGCCTGTTGATTTTGGCCGAATTATGTTGTATAATTAGCGAGTTATTAATTAATTAGTGATGGGACACAAGGTGTCACTATGGAGTAAGAGTGCTGTTTTGGGGGATCCCCTAACTTTCGATCGATAAGTCTTTGGTCTCTGACCGATATTCTCGTTTCTAAGATTTGTCCTTAATTTGATGGTCTTTGTCTCAGAAAATATCTTAGTCCTTTTTTCTGAAAGATGTCCCTATTTTGATATGTGTCAATATTTTTGTTTTTATTTTTAGGGGTAAAGGTCCCTATAGCGTGCACTTGGATTTGTCAATTCGAATGATTGATTTGTTAGAAATGATATTAGTACCTCATAGATTGCTATGCGCATTCATGTGGTAATATCAGCAAATTAATTGCCACAATGACAAAACAATATCCTACCAGCAAAGTTCAGTTCGTGTAACTTGAATCAAAATACAACTTAGAAGTGAGATGAAACAGATAGTTTATAAAAAAAAAAACTGCTGAAGCAAATCCTTTCTAGGGAAAAGTATGAATGGACACGGGTCGCACTGGCATGAAAAACATTTTTTTTATTAAATTTTGTTCTTATTTTATCTTAGTATCATGTTTCTTCAACGTCTTCATTTTTGTGTTACTATCGATGGCAACCCTGCCTATATCTCTGATCGGAAAGACATTGAGCGAGTTGAATGCCTAGTACAAAGGTTGTTGTGTCAGTATACAAGATCTTTGTTTTTCAATTTTTGGAATTCTCAAATATGAATTTTCAACATTAATGTCCTCAATGCTATAATTTCAAAATGGCCGCTATTACAAACATTGTTATATATCTCTGTCTTGCTTAATTGTCATAACAATAACTTACCTGTGCTGTACTGTCATATGAAGACGACACAATCTGACTCGTATTTCTAGGATTATATGACAATCCAGTGATTCTTGATAAATGTCCGACAAGTGATCGATGTGGTTTTGATACCAATATAGGATTTTCTGAACAAAATATTGTAAAGTTAAAAGACAAGTTTCCACTAGAGCAGTGCAGTCTAGTTTTGTCAGGTATGAACAATAATGCGTGGAACTGAATATCATTCAGGACTGGTCAATAGGACATTGTTCGTCCATGATTAAGCCATCTTTTCTCTGGTCCAGGATAAATATCAAAATCCTATTCTATTCCTAGTGACTTTACAGGACAAATGGACAATTCCAGAAATTCGAGGTTCGAACAAAACTGCACAAAAGTTACACACAAGTGGATATAAAATATATACCGGTAGTCAAATATTGCATGACACTATGGGACGGCAAGTCCACCATGCATTAACATTTTATTGCGTTGTGATGTAAATTGTCACTATGGTACAGCAGGAGCCCATACAACTTTCTGGTGCAGTAACTGGAGGATGCCCTCTTGAATACCCGACAAAACTACACTATTTTGTATAAATTAAGTGGAATAAGATTCTGTTCTGTTATGTTGCGACAAACTCTTAACTTGATCTCATCCATGCTGTGACACAGATCACATATAGATCCAGCAGGAGATAAAACATAGACGAAGAATATGCAGATCGTCACACAACCCGTAACACAATATTTAGGGAAAATGCCTGTTTTTGAAAGAAATTCACAATTAAACCCATAATATACTTACCTAGTTCATTACCAAGTGTGTATTCATTTTCCAAGAATATTTTCTTCAAATCATGAACGTGAATAATGGAGTTATTGGATCCAGTGACAATTTCAAGAAACTTATCTGAAAAAAGTAAAAGGATTTATTGTACAGTTACCGTATCTGCCAACAGTTGAATCAAAATATTGCAGTTGGCTGTTATACCAACATAGTGATCCGAAAACAGAACCCAAGACATTTGGAACATATTCCACAGCAGGGGTGTGCAACAGGTGATAAGGAATTGCACCAGTAAAAAATTTCTTTCATTTCTGAGCATTAAATATTGAAATTTTTATTTTCTTGCTTAACAGCACATGTTCTTAACTCAATATGAAAAATATGATATAATGCTTACTAACTGTTAGTTTCTTCGTCGTTAGGTCTCCATTTTACACAATTTACAATCTTTGAATGACTTTTGATTTCTAATATATGATCGAGATGCGGTGAGAGGTAGATGTTTATTGTTCTGTAACAAAATACATAATGCATTGTTCAAAATTTCTATCCACCAGAAACAAAGAACAAATAAAATTCTTAATCTTTCTTCAAAATAATAAAAAGTGACATTGAATTTTTGAAACACTGTTCCCAAAGTAGAATAATTAATTTATTGGAATAAGCGCAGCTATTGAGATGTTAAAAAATTTCTTGAATGTTACTTCATTCAGTCAATTACTATACTAACTAGGAATTTAACTCATGTGGTTGACCCAATTACGCTAGTAGTATCTATACATTGGCCAGTTTGCATTTCATTTACTGTATATTAATTATGCTAGTAACAGGGATGAATATAGTTTACTGAATTCATTTTGGGTTACGTCGGACAATTTAGAATTACATAAAGTCAAGTCATTATCCAGTCAAAATAATGGATATAATTTGATGGTTGCAAATATTATCTTTTACTTTTTCCCCTTTTGCCATAGCATTTGTTTTTTTATTCAACGCTTGATCACACATTGCGCTCTGTACAAGGCCTTGTAAAGCCATCTGACTATATTCAAGGAGCTACTACCTTTTCGAAAGGAGCCGGATCTTTATATCCGGCACTGCCTACGGAATATCAACATTACATGTGAAGTAGGGATCCTGGGTGGAGATAACCCGACCCGATGTGTAATATGCGATGCTATTTGAGTTGCCATCAAGCAACCCAGTATATCAGTAGCTGTTGATTGCAAGCCAATGTAGCAAAATGGGTAATTTGCCTGTTTTCAGTTTTTTGCTTGTGTAAGCTCATGTCTTAAAAGCATAATTTTTATCCCAGATGGTGCCTGCAACATGGTTTCAACATGAACTGATAACTGGACGAGAGGATGTGGTTCATCATATGATTAAGCATGCTTATCCGCTTACCTCTCCTCCAGAATAAATACAAAAATTTTATCTATCTATAAATTATCAACAGAATGCATAAGTAATGTTCTCGTTATAAGCTACTGACCCATTGTCATTTCCAATTGCAAGCAGACTCTCATCTTGATTCCAAGATACTTCACTATGTTTACCAGGAGAATGAGATGAATTTGAACTTGAAATAATTTGATCAATATCGACGGCATCTTTGGACATGTTCTAAAAGCAAGGAAAATCAATCCATGAGACTCTAGGTTGAGATAAATGCCACAGAAGCATGTTAAGAAAAGAACAGGTCAAAAGAAAAGTGGGTTATACTGCAGGGCTGAGGAGCCAAAGCTGTGATATTTTTGGAAATTTTGAAATGCAAAATGCTCTCGTGAAAAAGCATTCGGGCTGATGTTAAAAAGAAACCCTGAAGCTGAAGCATTGTGATCCCAACCAACTCCCCAGTCATATTGAAAACAATCCGAAAAAACGATTACCACACACACACACACACACAGTTACACTGAATGTGACATATCAACAAAAAAGCTATATAATATGATGGCCATTCATAGTTACAGTGGAGACTGGTGGTGATTGATCACAGACAATGGACCCAGCCTGTAACCTAAAAAAAATCTCTGTATATGTCGGAAAACAAAAAATTGAAAAAATTTTTTATTTTATCGTAGCCTGACAAAACTTTTATAGTCGACTTGCATAATGATTTGATGGAAAAGCTGGTCTTAGATCTTTTTCGATCCTAACATAGCTAAACAACAATATTATTGCGAAGCTAAAACAATTAATTGAAACAAATATTGAAAATTTAAATATTTCAATAATTCAAAGTCAATAGTGCTCATTTTAAGCTACATTAAAATTATCACAGCGTTCAAAATTAAAATAAGAATAATCAAGATATTCAAAATCTAAACGTTAATTAATAAATCTGAAAGATCAAACTAAAAATGATAAGAAACTCAAGCATACCGATGGGTTATGTTGTAAAATTTTTCCATCACCGCCGCACGAAAATAAATGAAGGTTTTTATTTTTATTGGTAGCTGTTGATATTGAAACGTTGGCTTTTCATCATCTATTAGTTTAGGGGAGCATTTTGGCCCCAAGACAATGCATACACCGGTTTCATGTGATATGTTTCAGCCACAACAGGTGGTCGCAACGAAAGTGTGTCATATATGCCGACCTGAAATAATTTCAATTTTCAAGAACATAAAAGCAAATTCTATGAGTGAAACCAATTCTAGAGATGTACAAATACAAAAATTGAGTTTTTGATTCGACAAAATTTGTATTTATTGAAAACATGATTATGATGTTACCTTTCCATCTTCAGTTGCAAAAGCAAGACAACCTTCTTTGTTAGGATGCCATGCAAGTGCCATAACCTGGAACAAAAAAAAAAGGATTTAAAAAATTAAAGTTTTGTTAAAGAGACAAAAAGACAATCTTTATTCTCGTGCTATGCCGAAGTGGTTAGCATGTTATTAAATCTAATTACGTTGATTCAGACTGGATGAAAACATTTCTGAATTCAGATCCAATCTCTGATGTAACAATATTTCAAATGAAAAATACCCCTAGCATTGTCTAATCTTATGCCGATTTGACTAAAAGTATGTTTCTTGTCCAGGCAGGATGGACCTTTCATATTTATCCCAGGGTAGAGAAAATGAAAAAATGGTTCAATCACATCCCATCTTAATATCTACTGCGAAATCAGATATGAGAAAAGCTCAAGATGTGTTTACATGATGGTGGAGTAAGGCGTAATTGACCAACAGTTTTCGCGAGCCACTCCATCCTGCACAAGTTTTTAACTTCGAAACCCACTGTGGGTATATAGCTAGGATAGGATTGTCATATTTATGCCAGGGGAGATGGAAGCCGATAAGACGGCATAATCATATGGCGAACCGCGACCTCTCGTCGGGTTACCAGTCCATGTCGGGTATGAGGTTTGTTAACCAGTTACTTGTTTTTCAGAAACATGGACTTGATGGTAGAGGAAGCCGAAACCGACCATCACTCTGCTGTTTGATTATGTGAAATCACTCATATCTTATATGCAAATATTTTACTATTTGAACTAATTTCTTTAGTCATCATAATATGCTACAAACTTTCAATCTTTTCTTACCTTTTCTTTTATTCCCTGCCATAATGTTGTAATATCATAAGCACTTTTAGGACTCTAGTTTTCCATACTCTGATCATTCCATCCCCCACACCTACTGCATCACTCGGATCTTTAGGTGATACTGATATGGAATATACAAATCCACCCAAAGTGGGTAAAACCCAATCGGGGCCGCGACTGGCACTGGCAGACTCGGATGGAATAGTCCAATGCAATAATTGTCTATCCATAGACGTAGTCACAATGGAGTTTGATAAATTTGAGCCATGTGCAATGTTGAAGACTATTCGATGGTGACCGGCATCATGAGTTTGACTTGCTAAAACCTAAAGAATTCAATGAATCATTAACACTGGGATATATTTGAATTGGAGTCCGCTTTATGTAAAAACATTTTTTCAATTAATTTGACATTTGGTATACAATGACAAAAAATTTATCATTTTTGATTTTTTGTATTATTTTCATGCATAAATCAAAAATATTCTATTTTGCTTTTGAATAAGATAATCAAGCTAACATCATTGATAGCATTCACCAAATTCTACATGGGATAGGATTGAATTTATCCTGAGAGAAATGGGAAGGGAAACAGTTAAAACGGCTTAATCATAAGGTGAATCACGCCTTTTAGCTGGTTACCAGTTCATTTTGGGTATGGTATTAGGACATAGACTAGCGAAAATCCTGTCGCACATGGTTTTCCCCAGCGAGATTCGAACCAGCGTACTCACGCAGGGTAATCAGACAAATTATATTAATAGAATAAAATTTTCATATTATCCAGAGGGAGGAAAAAGGCTCAGAACATAAAGATCATTGCTCACACAAAAATATGATCCTGCAAAACCAACGAATAAAAAAACTAGTAACATAAACTCACACATCACCATGATTATATGAAGATAAAAAAATATTCTGACCTCAAATAAGTTTTCTGCTGCAGGGCTTATATCCCAAACTACTAAGTCTCCATTGTACCCAGATGATATGAATTTGGTCTTTGAATTTTGCGGCCAATGTATGGCAGAATATAATCGTGCAACATCCTCATTTGTTTTGCGGCCTGAAAAGTTAATTCAATTTATTATTATGGCAATATCAACAAAACTCAAACCGGTAATGATCTAGGCATTTATTTTAATTGGAAGCCTATTTAAAAACTTAAAAAAAATAAAGTATGTTTTAAAAAATATAGTTAGGTACGCTCGCTGTTTGGGTTGTATAACTCGGAGTAAAACTATTTTACTTGGTGATATTTGTCACCTATTTATATACAATTGTTGATCAAAGCATGGTCATGGTGCACTCACTCAAAAGAGGGAGCCTATCTCGAACATGATTCATTCATAAAGTAAGTCTGGTTGGGTTAATGGGTACTACTCCCGAAGTATGTGAATCAAGATGGCGGACACCAGATCGTAGTATGTGTACCAGGTTAGGGTTAGGCCATAATTTTATTCCAATTTTCCTTATTTCAGTTCTATTACGAGTTCGGGGACTAGCCAAGTGACTCCAATAGTATTTGTACCTAAAATTATGACCTAACCCTAACCTGGTACACATACTACGTTCCGGTGTCTGCCATCTTGATTCACATACTTCGGGATTACCGGTCAATGTAACTAAGATCCATGTTTGGATAAGTGCTATCCACAACTATATTTACCCTTTTTGACTGTGTTAGGAATCTTCAATGTTCTTCTACATTTTCCTTCACTTATACTCCATAGTTTGATAGTCTTATCTTTACTACCAGTCGCAATAACACCCTCATATCCCCTAAAAAATAAGATTCCATCTCAATTAAATTGAATCATATCGAATTCAACAAAATTAATAAATGGTAATAGGAAAGTTTATTCGAAGATTTGATGAAAAGGGCATTATAGTTCTACTATGTAAGTTGCACAATTCAATTCAACTGACAATTCAGTTAACGAATCCTCAAATTCATCACGATACTTACGGTAGATAGTATTTCTTACTCTTCAAAATTTTTCCATTATCATCTTGCGTCTTGCTAATCAGAAATGTTTCATTCAGATACGAATATACATAAAGTATGACATGTCAAATTTCAACTGATTATAGAATTTTCGTTGTTTATCCTGAGAGGCCCCATTACATTGAATGAACATATGACAAATTGGTCCATTGGGTACGAAAATGGTTATCGTATATCCTCGCATACAAGACGAGTTTAAAACTCAAAAAATAGTTGCCAATATGAAGGGTCGGCATATATGCGTACAACTCTGATCGCACTAAAAATTATGCTTATGCACAAGGCACAACTCTGATCACACCCAAACGAAATGACATTAGGCTTATGTAACCTAACAGTTACAACTAGGGCTGGGCATTTCGAATCGAATATTCGAATCGAATCGAATAGTAAATTATTCGAATCGGTTCAGACTGGAATTTCGAATCGCCGCCATCTTGTTTTTATCTTTCCGCTAATGGTCGAGGTGAATTCCCCAATATTTTTTTCATTGAAGTCATATTTTTTCAACGAAATTCTAACATATGACTATTTTCTGTAGTGAGTTATTGATAAAACGTGTTTGTTATTCTGTGTGAACGCTCAGTAATCTATCTGAGTGATTTATTCTATGTCTTCAGTAATTCATTTGTTGATAGGACCAATTACTATGATAAAGTCGCTTACAATTTTATATTTTCAAGTATTCGAGATTCGATTCGATCGAAAAAATTATTCGATTCGATTCTGAAATCACAAGGTATTCGAAAATGCCCAGCCCTAGTTACAACTCTAACCATGCTAAGTTCTCATGATAAGAGCGTACAATTTGTAGAGTTGGCTTTCATGTGAATTTTTTTAGGTTCACCGTTTTCAGGGGACCAGTTGAGATGGGTCCCCTGGAAGTTGAAAAGGAATCAGTTATGTTCACTACTCTAGGATCCGTCAAAACATATTTCAGTATGTGAGGTCAGTAGTAATATCCATTAAATTGATAATTATGTATACCCATTTACGGCAATCTCCTCTTCATCCTTCTGCCCTTTACTTGAGAACACTAAATTCTCATCTTGAAATGGCGACCACACAATCGAATGTACTTCATTAGTGTGACCTCTCAGTTTCTTGATGACCTGTTTGTACAGTAGGAATATAATCAGAATAAATTTTTTGGAAAACAAACATGTAATACATACCGTTCCATTTCTTCTTATGTCCATCAATGAGACTGCTCCTGATTTATAACCAATTGCGACAATGTTTTCATTTTGAGGTGAACAAGTAAGACATCCAAGATGCATCTGACTACTTCCATCTGGATAAAACCGGTCTGTGCTGCCTTTATCCAAATTCCAACAGACGACAAATCCTTTCTCATCGCCAGAAAGTATCAAAGATGGATTTACTATTAAAAAAATCAAGATAAATTAAAAACTAGAATAAAAAAATATATCAAAGTAAAAACACGAAATTCAAAGCCAAAAAAACATTAGAATTGAATTCCTAACGCACAATAATTGCATGTACTACTGTAAAGAAAAGGCTGTGTTTAAAATAAAGCATGTCAATGGCATTTTGCAACAGGGAAAAGCTGAAAAAAATAGGAAATCATCAATACCTGGAGACCAATGCACTGATATGATTTTATTGCTTCCATGAGCAGAATGTTCATGAAGCATTAATTTTTGTCGAACATCCCATACTTTTACGGAACAATCATCAGCTCCAGATGAAATTCGGAGTAATTGATCTTGACCAATAGCAGGACAGAAAGAACATGTTGTAACTTTGTCGGTATGGCCACTTAGTATACCTAAAACAATGATATATTTTACATAATTTTTCTCCACAAAATGCAAATTACAGAACTAGAAAAAACTGTAACCACATCTTAAAAATCCCATGGAAAACAAATAAAAAATCCCATGAATAATCCTACCATAAATTTCAGCTCTCTTTTGTGTCAAATCCAATAAAAATACCAAATTTCTCGATCCAAATGCAAGAATTCCATTATGTGAGGTATCTATACCTCGAGACTGATACCACACTGGTGACGATGGAAGAACAACCATATTTATACTATATATTTTACCTTAAACATCTAACATACAAAAATTCTTTGATTAGATGTTGTTACATAGTAGAAAAAAAATGAAAATCTCGAGTATTAAATATGATTCTTTGCAATAATGAATAGTCTTATACCAGGGGTAAATAACACAGGGCATACATGTTTAATGCGGCACACCATGAGCTCGAATGTGGCCCGCTTATGGTTTGGTAGGAGGTAATTCTTTACGAAAACAAATGAATCTCAGCTACAGACTCGATTCACAGATAAATATTTAGATTTAGTGATGCACATCACTATTTCTCCTTTGAAGCCCAACATACCAAATTTTGACTTCAGAAGTTCATTCATATTACCAATACATATTCAAAAGTGCCTTGGCAGCAACAACATTATTTCGAAAACTTTGGCACATATGCTCATTGGAAATGTGTACCCCCGGTATAAACAGCAACATTTTTTATATAAAAATTTAATTTGTAGTATAGATAGTACCACACCAAAACAGGGCAGCATCATTTAGGCTTAAAAATACCTAAAAGCTTCCCATAAAAAACGAAATATTGCAAATAAAAATTGAAATTATTGCAAGTTTTTATCAAACAATAGAAGTATGGTACACTAAATGAAATCTTTCAATGTGTGCTTTAAATATGATTCACGAGACATAAGCAATCATCATACACAATAAATATAATAATATTTCACTTGATTGAAACCTCAGAATTTAACTTTTTAATTTTTGTTTTAGCCAATTTTAATTGAGACTGCAGTGTGCTTATATCACCAATGATGATGGAGGCTTTCCGAAATTCAATTTGGCATTGCCGAAGACTTTGTGGAACAAGCACACCAAACCAATTTAATGGATCAGTTGGGGTTGCAATTTTATCTTCTTCGCTGATATCAATATCAGAAACAGCAGATGGCAATTCATTAATAGAAGACTGGACGTGATCAGTATCATCCGTTTCAATGTTTTTGTCTTCAGAACTGCTATTGCCTACATTTCTTTTCCTTAAAATTGCTTCTTTTTGATCACCACTTTTGGTTTTGTTTTGTTTTTCTGATACTTTTCTTTCATTTTTGTTATGTTGAACTTCAAATTTAGAAACCTCATCATCGTTTTGTTCAACATTAACAGTTACATTTGCACTCATTACAGCAGCATAATTCAGTTTAGATACTTGTTTCATTCCCATGACATATCGTGCCTTTGACATACAAAAAAATCCATTCTCCATACATGTTTGTAACTGCTGCTTTTTCTCGTGAATTTGTTGTATTATTCGCAAAAGATTAAGATATTGAAAATCCAAATTCTGTTTTGAAGCCATTCTTGCGTTTTATAATTTGGTAAAAAGAATGACTTTTACTGAAAGAAAACGGGCACATTGTTATGAAATTCCAATATCAGAATATCTATTTTTAGCACCTTTTTTACCTGCTAGATGTTGCATTTAGCACAAAATCTCAATTCACAGACTACGGTATGATACTAGAAAAGGGTTTTCATATTCAAATTGGGGAATAAAAAAAAGATAAAACAGTCTGGCAGTTCGAATAAATAGTGAACCATGGCTGCATCCTGCATGATTTGAGATATTTCTAATCAATCGTATATCCTGTAATGTTATATCAGAATTTGGCTGCAAACCAAATTTGTTTACAGTATATTAAATCAAATTGGATAGGCATATGTCAGTTAAAATTTTGAAAAGAAGGCGCAACAGCGCAGAAGTGCGCAAAACAGCGCAGAAGAGAGTGAAACATTTTTCTTTTATTATTCATCAGCGTCCATGAAAGTTTGAAAACATGTGATGGGAAACAGCAAACATCTTTAAAAAACCCAACATGGCGCACCTAACCTGGTACACATACTGTGTCCAGGTTGCCGCCATCTTGGTGCACATACTTTTGGAGCTCCAAAATTACTTTCATTTTGCTTATGGGTGTGCCCATATCTGCATATTGCGTCATGTTGGGTTATTTAAAGAGTTAAAGATTACCGATATAAACTCGTGATCATTCCCTATTAGCTACTACGGTACTGTACCGTACCGCTACTGTTTCCCATCAAATTGTTTAAAATTTCACGGACGCTAATAAATAATGAAAAAAAAAATGTTTCCCTTTCTTCTGCACTGTTTCGAGCTCTTCTGCGCGGTCTTACTACTTAGGGTGGTGTAGCCAGTCTGCGGACGATTTCATTCAAACCGCTATAAAACAAAAACCAATATTTCTAACCCGTTAATTTTTTCACCGTAGGTGCATGGGCATTTATTCTACACGCTAAACCTCGAATTAACTTTCTACGACCAGGGGTTAAAGCTATACAAACCACCAAAGTATGACACTCTGAAGACCTAATTGCGACCGAACGACCAGTGTGCGACCACGGATTTCAAGCCTTGAACATCATTTCTGCTGCGTCGAGACTGGGGCATATGCAGCCATGCGTGAAAAAAATTAGCTTCTAATTGCATTTCCGACAGTCATATATTTTAAGAACAAGGTTATTTCGAACAAAACTCAACAAATTATAAACAAAGCACCGCATTACAGCAATCAAACAAACAAAAACACGGTGGTCGCAAATTGGTCGACAATGCTATTATCGACGTATTGGAAATGCGCACCCCCCTAATCCCCCTCCTTTGAATGTAGAAACGCGAAACTTTAAAGATGGTTAAAAGAAACAGAACTCTACCCACCTGCCAAGTTTCAACTTTTTATCTCTTATATTAGTATGGATTTTCAAGCATTTCCAAAGAGACAATGGGTAGTTGGCGACATGGAAAAATGGCCGTTTTTTTTCTTCGGTCGGGTTTTCGGTCATAACTTTTTTGTTTGCGGCCGCATTTTAGTGTAATTTCGCAGAGCTACGAGGGATAAGTGGACGATAACGCGTGAGAAATATCGTTTCAGTTCGTTAATTTTTTCGACATTAATTTAATCGATGAAGTTGATGGTCGCAAATAGGTCTTGGCCGCAAAGTGGGTAAGCCACCCTACTGAATACAGCGCGAAACACCGCAAAGAGCGCAAAACAGTGGGGAAACAGCGCAAAACAGAGGGAAACAGTGTGAAGCAGAAAAAAATTTTGCAATGAGTTCGGGGCACCTTGTTTTGAGTTGGAGTACCACGGCAGCAAATTAAAAACACAAACCAACGTATGTAGCCAGTAATGCTGTAATGGCAGGTCTGCCCCTGCTGGTGACACATTTTGGGTACCATAATTTAGAACATTTTCCATATGGATATGGTTGGCTTTAGGGTTAGGGTTAGGTAAAAAGGGACCTCCAGAAGTACATTGCTGCACATACTTCTGGAGCACCAAAAAGGGGGCCCTACTAAAAAGGTAGGTATCACAGGTATCACTCCCTAAAAAGGTACCGTAGGTATCAGTAGTAGATGACTATTTTAATTGAATACAGATACTACCGGTACATAGCCCTTATGGTAAAGGTACCAAGCGAATATCAGAACATTCCCGCATTCAAACACCTCCCGTACATCATAGACTGCACCAATAATAAGCGGCTTGCTCCTGCACCGCGCACATGTTTGTGTTGTGCTTCATGCATCTCCCTGCACTTTAACGTCATCTGGTGGTTATCATATTCACTTTCCATTCTCGGTAGGTATTCGTGAAATCGTGGGTATAAACAATTCGATTTTTCGTATTGTTTATTGCCTTTACTGCATTTTGCAAGCTACCGTTATATAGATAAGTACTATTTCTTTTTTTACAAATGGCCAACAAACATAAAAGAAAAGGATCATATGATCAATGTTTTTAAAGCTCAGTTTTACTGAAATCATGACATTATACAACATGATGCGCAACTCCGGCATTTGTAACCGAAGATCGTATCCGATAACACGCTCCAATCAATGACATTAATGTCATTGCTGAAATAAAGGGCCAGCCGAAATGGGTTATTTGTATCAAAGTTTAAGAAAGAACGTCATTTAATTAGCCTACAAATCATCCAGGATGAAAATTAGTTTTTGGTGAGTTTAATGATTTTTGGGCAGAAGGCTATTACTTTTGTGCATTCCTAAATTTTCTATAAATCCAATGAGATTTATTATTTTATCCAAAATTTTGCTATATTTTTATTTTCATTGGAACACGACAGTTTCCGGTTTAGACAGGATAAGCAATCCGCCAAATGAAAAGGGTGTTTTAGAGTCAAACTTCTAAGACGCTTTTTGACCAACTGAGTAATACGAATAACTTCTAATGTTGTTGTCATCATAGCGCATTGTGAGAAAAATCATCAAAAATATTACTCAGCACAATCTTCACGACAGTTATTGTATTTCATCATTTTTTAGAAATTAACAAAAACGTTCTCATCTCCCTGCCCACTGATTAACACTCTGCGTCAGAATAATCCAAGTCGAAAATTATAAATAAAACGAAATGTATATGTGGAAATCATTTTATTAATAGAAAAGTGAACAAATAATTTACAGACACGATAAATGATTAATCTAAATTGTGATAACGTGTTGATACAACCACTATACAGTACTATTTGTCGTGAAAAGTTTTGGACATTCAATATTAGAAAAATTATATCTATATGCCAATTGCCATCGACAGTTGCAAACTAATATCTTTCTATAAAAAATGATATTTTAAATACTACTTCTTGTAAAAATAATAAATGATGAATAAGAACGTATTATAGAGTAATGATGTATTTTTCATTTATAATTCTATAAATATATATATAATTTGATTTGCTCTTAACATGAGAGAGCCTAAATGAACCTATCATCTCACTCCATTGTTTAATTTGTGAAGTATGATATTGAAAAAAGTAAAATGATGAAATTGGACTTGAAACTGTAATTCTGGGGGCCACCAAAACAAGTTCAATCGGGAGCTAGTACATTATGTGATGTTAGCTTTCACTCGATCTAATTTTTCTTGCATTTCATCCCATTTTTTCACCGTATTGTAGATTTAAGCGTACGATTTTCTAGTTCAAATAAGCTGTGTCAGACAACCTATTTTCAATATGAGTCCCTGTCACCCCCTCACTGTACTCAGCTTTGCTGGATCCGTTTCTTTGCGAATCACACTTGTGACGTTGATGTCACCATAGTGCTTTGTGTCGTCATCGGTCGTCGATTATCCTGCAGAAAGTGACGTTGGTTGGTATTAGTAGTAAACGGTCTATTATGATATAGATTTTGTAAGAAGGATGATTATAACAACAAGAGATCGTTACTTTGATAGTATCTACAGCTGTTAATGTAGGGTACATGTAAAGATGCGTTGAATACGATAAACAACATCAATTCATTTCGAGATTTCGTAAACACACATTCAGTTACATGCAAACATATTGCTGTATTTTAAACTTGGATGTAGGTCGTTTCAATGTTGTTAGATTGTCTATAATAAGTTTAAGTACAACTCTGATTTGCTTTTGCCTTGGTTCAGAAATGTATTCAAAAAATTACTACACAGGCAGCAAGCTTATGCAAATAGGACAGCCTATGAATTCAGAACACAAACCAGGCAATTAAAATTTGAGCATGACATTCATTAAACGTATAGTAAGTAGTAACTATGGGAAAACATTGAAGTGGCGTCCTGCATAAATGAAACGTTGAGGATGGTAACAACAATACGGAATTCATAACCTAAATACTTTTGTTTCTACGACATAGGTTTACAACGTAAGACTTGAGACCACAATGGCGCTCGTAACTTGTTTCAAAATGATGCCTATAGTAACAAAAATTAAATATAATATCTGTATTATCTGTGGAACACTGTGCGTTTTTCTGTATTTGGAAAAAATCATTATAGCCTACAATCAAATACTGTTCGTCATATTGGACACGATAACATGCACCACAGAGTTTTTTGGTCAACACTGCGTTTAATAAGCTTTGTGTAATGAAGAAGATATTTTTAAGCATAAAAACAGTATCATTAACATGGAGGGTATCCAATTCTGTTTTAGTCAAATTTGGGTCGCAATTAGGAACGCCAAGTGTCTCCTTCCGTCACATCATGCATGCTTGCTTTAGCTCATTCGACGCTCCGCGACAATTTAGTGTTACTGCGTAAAATACGTTATATAATCTGTTAGGCCTTGCTTATACCATGCTGCAAGTAAAATGAAATGAGCTTCGGATCGAAAGACGATCTGAGTTAGTTAGTAAGCGTAGCGCGTGCGGTGTTAGTTGTGATTAAGCTGGTAATAAACTGGTTTGTTAATGACCTATTATCCAGTCTTGGCATGCATTCCACTGCAAATTACCCACGACTCCAACACCACGGTCACTCATAACTTGACGAAATGTGGTTTTGAACTGTAAACAATACCATATACATGATTCGGATAAATAAAATGGGCTTGACCAAAGTCGATAAATCAAAGACAAAACGGATTTTGAAATAGTAGGTATATAGAATATTACGTGTCATTTCCAAAACCTGGGTGCATGACGGCCACCGGCAGTTAAATTCTTCGGACTAAAAGCAGAGAATGCAGACTTAATGTATTACTTCAATTTTATGACATATCTCACGGTATCATAGTTCAATCACTTTAAACTGAGATAGATTACTTATGCACAATCACGTTCCAACAATAAGTTCACAAAGTTACGTAAAATTGGATGTGGTAATATTCATTGCGCATTGGCAAATGAGTAGCACTTTATATTTTTGACGTCGACTGTATATCCTTAAACAAACTACGACTGCACAAATGAAACAGCAAGCCCCTTACCAGGATCAGCCCCTTATGTTTTAGTTGAATTTTCCGGTCTTAATTTATTGAAATCAGATTGCCTCATATTAAACACTGATTAAGACTATATTATTACAAGTTTTATATTAACATCGACTTTACTAATAACATAACTAATTAGTAATAACACATACTAAATATACCTAATTCAATTTGAATCAGATATTTTTAAGATTGGCTGACAAAATGCACGTCAGATTAATGAAAATAAAAAAAGCCAAACTGTGTCACAACTCACATCAAGCAAAAATACTGCCTTTTCAGTTAACCATGATAGTTACTGACATAGGCTGCATCAAGTCTGAAAAAATGGATAATATCTTCTGCCGTGTAACAACTTGTAAATTGAGTATTGCATTGGAGTAAATTATGAAATGTTCTTACTTCTGGTCTTTTCGGTCGCCATTTTTCTGGAAGGCAACCGCAACAAATACAGAATATGTTCAAAAAAGCTTGTCTGAATCTTTTATTCAGAAAACAGTAGACGACAGGATTGACGCATGTTGAAACGTAGGGCAGGATCTGAAAACAATCAAGATGTTTAAACCTTAGCTTTTGCCAAAATGCTTTCTTGCTACTATATTAAGACAGCTTTATTTATTCGACTGTGTTTCTAACTTTCGAAACGGAAAGTATTTTAAAAATAACTAATCAGTTTTATAAAAGTTTAAACCGTTGAATTCTGGAACAAGCGATAAAAATTTAAAAACGACTTAAAATGTATGATAGTTGAAAATTGAATGTCGAGGCCCCGGATGACTTCCGTGAAAATATATATATATATTTAAATTCTGTAATTGAATACTACGTTACCTTCTACGTTCAATTGGTTGTATCTGAATATCGCGCACAAACACAAAGAATTATGTGCTTTCGTAACGATTAGAACCTGCTTAGTAACAACGAGCTGAATGGGTCAATCTTTTATAATTATTTAATCATAGAAAAAAATTTGACAAATAAAATTTTTTAGGCTACCTGGATGACAATAATGCCACTCTGTAGTTTTCTTCTGGCAGTTTGAGGATCAAACGATTTCCAAACATTCACGACGAAGGTGGGTGTCCAACACGCGAAAAATAAAATCTAAAACAACACACAAGGAGTATCAGTCATATATACACATTTACCAATGCAAATTTATCAAAACAATGTGGCCTAACAGAAGAAAAACAACGTGGAGTGTTTTCATCATGCACATTGGGACATGCTTCAATGATCCACGTGACGATTTTTATAAAAATCGTGTAACTTTGCATCTAACTAAAATGTATTCTAATGAATATTTGGTATGTCAACTTCCATCCAGTCAGAACTTACCACAATCACGATCAACATCTCCACAACTTTCTTTTTCGCTTGAAGTTGTTTTCGTGTCTCGTTCTTCCGGGAGTCTTCTTTCTTTGAAACACCGTTGCGCAAGGATTTGGGATTTCTACATGTTCGTAGAAATTTTTTGAAACCTTTTGTATGTTCCGAATTAGCTGATGTGTTGCTGTCATCATTGGCCTTGACGCACTATTGAAGATTTAAGTTTTGTTATGAAAGTCAAGCGCTGGACTAACCATTGACCATTGACCAAGTCGATATCACCACCCTAAACTTTAAATGTTATTCATATATATATACTAAAAAGCGTGATTGAAATAATATCGGACAAAATCAACACATAGTTTTGATATTGTGCTAAAATGGTCTGACTCTGTACCCGTTACATATGGTGACAGGATTGTAGCGAGAAAAAAATATTAAACTCGAATCTCAACACCAAAATATTCTATTCCAGCTCCGGGTAGACAAAATTTTTGACAAATAACATACAATAACAAACGACACCGAAAAATTTAAATTTTCTATTCTAGCTTCCGCTCCAGCTCTGATAATTTGGAAAGAAAATGACAGAAATTTAATTTTATCCTAATTTGTGATTACTTCTTTCCCATTGGCACTCAATCCTATAAGTCTGTGCGATTCTGGTTTGTGCTCTGCTGTTCGCTGCGTTCGTGGCGTTGAGTTTCCACTGACATCTTGATTACCTGTAACATGATAAATTGGGGTATTATGATGTAGCTTACTTGCCTTTCATACAGTTATTTTGGGTCCCCATCTTATGTGCCGTTAGATAAAACAAAGGTAATTGAAGAAGAAGCAAAAGAGTTGAGACATTAGACCCAGGGATGCACAACCTTTTTGCTATTGGCGGCTGCATTGCATTTATTCGTATTTAATACGGCCTCCAGGGTGCTTTTATGACGTCATAGCCGCGTATTTGACCCATGCGAGGTGCAGTCTGCCCAATTATGAAATATGTAAGACTACTAGGAAGTATAATATTCGAATTTTAAATGCTTTTCGGTGAACCTATTCTTGAGCAGATATATTGCAGCAAGTTGCATAATGGTTGCACAACATTTAAAAAAAAATCGAAAGTTGGGAAGGGGGCGAGGGGCGGTTGCCCCCATTTTCTTGTCCCCAAAAGTATAATAAAATGTCAAATAAGCTGGCTTGCTAGGCTAGATTGCTACGTTGCTAGACTGCTGAAACGCGTGATCAATCTGAACCGTGAAGGGAAATCTTCAACAGCAAATACACCATCCGGATTGTGACGCACCGTGTCGTCTGACTTTTTTGCAGTGCTTCTGTTTTGCTTCAATATACGCCAGCATAGCCACCGAATTCTATATTTTGAACTTTTTTTTGTTGTTGTTCATAGGATTTTGTATGTGGACGGCCGCATTATTTTTTCACAACGGCCGCAGGCTGTGCACCGTTGCGGATTAGACTGATGAGGAAACATGTGAAATTGGGAAAAGGCATTACGATTCCTACCTTGTGTCTGTCAGATTCATACCGATATAATTTTTTTCTACAATTTTCCGACCGAGCTGCGGCAAACACACCGTGTTTATCAACTCAGATAAAAAAAAATTAAATTTATGTTATATACATAATATTTGACATGTCTGATATACCTTGTTTTTGCTTCAGTTCATTCACCTGAAATCCTTTGTAAATTGTTTTGCAGACAAGTCCATATGCCACCGTCATCAGCACTCCGGGAATTATTAGAAGTGCTATGAGTTGGAATAAGTACCTATGGAGACAGCAAAGTTTTATTAATGTGGGGCGATAAATATTGGTAACAAAAAATCAAAGTTAATAATTGTTCAATTAATCCGTATATGATTTTCCCCCCAATTACAAAATAACAAACATAGTTTAGTAACTTTGTTCTTAATACTATTTACACCCGTTTTTTAGCCGTGGGCGTGTGGGCTATTTTACTATTGAAAAAATTAATCGCTCAGGTATTTTCCTAATAGACATCGTAGTCACAGCTTTGCACCAAAACGTTAACACTTCACATTAACTTTAAATTACTAATTCCTCGGATAAAATAAAGTATTTCTCACCAAATTTTCTGTATGTCCAACATTTGATGACACCGAAAAAGAAGAGAAAAAAACAATAATCATTCCTACTCAAATGTATGCGTGTTATGCAAATATGTTGGAGCAAAATTAGCAATGGCTATTCTACATTTAATAATATTCAAAAATATTGAAGGATAGTGCTTTCGTATTGTCTTGAATAAAAGTATGGAAAGGCCCATTTTGAGACGAGAGTATAACACATCATCTTGATATAAACATTATTATATTTAATTTTATACGCAATAACCCATAGTCTACCCACTTACATGACTAGCTGGTAACTTGGAATGGCTTGAAGTTTCGTCTTCATCTGGAAATTTGACTCTACATGCTTTAATGCAAATACCTCTTCTTGCTAGAGGCATCATTTTGATAGTCGAATAAACGGCAAACGGTAACATGATCAGAAAACTGAATATCCATATCCCCAATATTACCTACAAAATAAAATAGAGGCAACTATAAAAAGTCGGGATAGCCGGAACTAGTGATTTTGAAAAGTCTTGGGCAAGGGGTACGTACTGAGGAAATTTATAGCAGTGGTTCCCAGGATTTCGTATGTCAATTTAAGAATTTAGAGACGTTTGGACGAATGGATTTCATGGTATAGTAGGTAGGGGAAAAGAGCAATTTTCGTTTATTAAATTCTTGGTGAAAATGAAGTTATTTTTAGTTTTTCTATTTGGGGCAACACTTCACTGAAATGTTATTGTTGCTTATAATGATACAGGGCCTGAGCCTAATATTGTAAAAAAATCCGCAGTAACAGATTGAATTTGGTCACAAGATATCAACAACCGATATTAATGTACACTCAAAATAACTCTTGATATAGCATAACGTTATTATAAATACATATTACTATTGACATTCTCGTGCATATTTGTTTTAGAAATCGTCCTAAAGAAAACTGTTTTGCATCAATAATAATAACTATGATACCAGATTTGCAATAACTAAATCACCTGTACAACATGTCTACGAAATATTTTTGGCGGCAGATGATACTGTTGAATATTTGGGACGAAAACAATTACTAAGAACGGGTGTTAGTATTGGTTGAATATAATTTTCAGTTTGCTTTATATTTGCTTATTACAAAGTAGACCTGACATTATCAGTTACGACTATTTATGGCATTTGAGAGAATGTCTCGCAGTCAGCAAGTCAACGCGTGCCAAGAAATTTTCTACTGATTTTTACAAGAAATCGGTGCGAAAAATTGAAGCCGAAGTGTCGTGGTCCCCCATTTTCAATTTTACCGTGTGTTTCTGTAATACATTTTGAATATCTACAAACATCGTCTATTCTTCGAGTTCACGACACAATACTTATGAACGAACACATTACCTAGTTCAGAAACGCAGTACCATTCATATTTTCTTTATTTTTATTACTCAAATGTGGCTGCTGTCTTAAGTTTTAAAGCGTAATTGCCGCATCTTCGCGAAGCTTATACCCACATGCCTCCACTGACTGATGTTACTTCTATTACTGCTCAGCGATATTCAAGCATGTAGGCAACAGTGGTTTATTAAAAAATACAATAAATGAAATAAAAGCAAAAAGAAAATGAATGCAAAGCGATAAAATGAAATATCTACACGGTTGAAAAATGATAATACATTATCATAAATATTGCTATTATACAATCTCAGCAATAAAAATTGACATCATTTATAACAAGGTGGGCCACGACTAAGCTAAATACATTTTTAAATTTCGATCCTCCATATACATGTCTGAGTATGGAACATCGAAATTGAGGCTGAGATAGTCTTAAATCGATATATTTAAAATTGTGACATATTCTTCTACGTCAAAGATGATTTACGAGTCCATAACACTACACTGCCAGCAACGATGTTTTGTTCGTAAATATTCATGAGAAATTGAGTTTACAAGCGAGATAAAGCTCCCCCTGATACAGCAAAGTTTTCTCCGGTAATATAGCTCGCATCATCAGAACAAAGAAAAGAGGCAAGTCCTGCACATTCACTCGGATCACCAAAACGCTTCATTGGAATATAACTTAAAAATTCTTCACGAATCTCTTTTCCTTTTGTAAGAACATCGCTGAATGGCGTGCGAAATATCCCAAGAGTAATGCAATTTATTCTGACGTTTTGTTCTAAAAGCTCAGGCATAAGAGCTTTTGTTAAGGAAAATAAAGCACTTTTGCTCACTGCATATGCACTAGGCATTCTTTGAGGCTGGAAACCGCTCATGCTCGATGTTATGACAATCGATCCTTGTTTGTTTTGCTTCCCCATGTGAGGAACAGCATCGCGGATCAGGCAGAAATTTGCTTTCACATTAACATCAAAAGCCTTGTCGAACGCAGTCTCCGGTGTGTCCAAAAACGTGCCTGTGTGAGCATTAACTCCTGCGTTGTTAATTAATATATCAATCCCCCCGTGATTTTTAGCTGTGTTTTCAACAAGAGCTTTTCGTTCTTCGTTACAGCCTACATGACAAGTGAACCCCGATGCTTTCAGTCCTTCTGACGTTAGACTCTTTACGGCTTTATCGACATTTTTCTGTTGTCTGCTGCCAAGTACAACATGGGCTCCTTCCTCTGCAAGGCGCTTTGCCATTGCAAGACCAATGCCCTCAGTGCATCCTACTGCAAGTGCGGTTCGTCCATCTAGTTTCTGAAGCCTTTGATTCAACGTGTAAGAGGCATGAAAGCTGCGTGCTAACGGTATATTTTTCACAACCAAGCGGGTTACTGTAGCAGACTTCATATTTTATATTCGACTAAACAGGTGGGTCTCGGAGATAACAATTCGTGTATGAAGATTTTCAGTCGACGCGCGGCATTTTATGCTGTTAGATGAATCGTTTATAGTAATTTGACTTTCTGTAATATCTCTCTCGTTTCTTCGAAATACTTTTGTTTAATAAATGCTGACACATTGAAGCCGCACCCTTGCTCGTAATGCAAAGCTTATGAACACACCCGTGTTCAACAGCTCCGCGAGTTCGAAAAAACGCGCCTGTAGAAGCAAGCGCGAACACGAATTTTTTCTCATTAGAAAATAGGAGAGAATTCAAGCATTTAACATAGGCCCGAAATATAGCCATGCTTCAGAAAATAGGCTGTAATTGTACGAAAACATCAAATTTGTTTCATTGATGTTACAGAGTATATATATCATTTAATGCAATTTATGCAAAGAGAGCCACAGATTGAATTCCATGTACGACATCAAGAGTATTTTTATATACTGAATAATCAAACATGATTGTACAACGAAGTTGAAAGATATGTCAGTTATGTTGATAAACGTTTGATTTCTATGAGGCAAATCATCCTTTTATGTTCTCCGGTATCTAAGGCATTGGTTCTCAACTCCAAGCTCCGGATATTAAATTTAATATTTGAAGAGATTCTAAATAATCCTTGGTCATATTTTTAAATCGATTCACTCTCAAGTTTGACTCATTGTCGTCTGAATTCTCATTTATTGTTGAAGTTTTATTCAGATAAAAATTTTAATTTCCTGATTTACGTCTTTGTAAATTCAAGCAATCTTGAAAAATAATAACAAAATAATAAATATATATAAATACAACGTTGCAATTTGGAGTCCTCGCACAATTCACAGTACGATACTATTTGTAAATCCCTAATAAAAAAAGGAATAAACAACATGAAAATGATCGCTCTGTGAATTTTTTGCACGACTCACTTCTTTGCACCAACGAAGCGACGTTTAGAAACGTAGCTTTATGATAAAACGATGTTTTTCGCGACAGGCACGTCGTTTGATTGCGCTGATAGACAACTCAAGGACATCTTTATCGTAATTTTAGTAAACCATATTATACGATCATCAAAATAACAAGGTTATTGATGGTTTTGCTTGGAATAGCTTTTATGCGTCACATCAGTAAGTTTACGATAACTTCAGATTTGTTTTTCCTATATTCTAAATCTAGGGCATATGTATTTTGGTAGACACAAGTTAAAATTCTGAAAAATTAGATTTGCGTACCAAAGATATTAGACTATCTACTAGTTCACTAATATTTGAGTTATTATTATATAAAATTTTAAAATGTTTACCACAAATTATATTTCTAGCTTAGTTAAGCAATATTTTTATCACAAAGTATTTGTCAACACATGAACATCCGACACAATGTACTTGGTATTTGCCAGCAACTTTACTGTTTCTTTTACCAGTCTGTACAAATAACGCGAGTGCGGCACAAATTATCGGAAATGTATCCAATTGCAACATGACATGCGTAGCTTTTGCTAAATGCAATTGAATAAAAAGTTATACAATGTCAAGCATACGCCATTAGTAAATCCAACGATAAGTACTGTTACGAAATACAATACAGAATTAGATATTTGATGGATGGACTACATACAAAACCGCATAGAACTGGTCAAACCACGATCTATTTGATCGAAACAAATATGAGTTTACGGGAAACTGACCTTGACATAATATCGCAGAATAATGACTGTGAAAAGTCACGCTGACGTGTTCAAAAAATTCTAGTTTTTGCGGATTATGGCAATAAGAATCGTTACATGGATATTTCAAATTTTTAAAATCAAAATTTGTTGTAAAATATTTTACTTTTTGTTCTCCAGTTATTTTGACAGCGAATATGTTAACAGAGCTTCTGGCTGAGTTCTGGTTGAGTTTTACATATCACAACGATTTTTTCGAATTATTAGGATTCATCGAGATTGCATCAAGAATTCTATTAGAAGACCGACTTTAGAAATGGGAAAAATTTTACAAATATAATTTTTGAAACATTTATGTGATTATTTTATTTTGCGGATATAGCCATAATATTGGTATATATGCGTTATCTTAGAATTACAGAATGACATCATAACGCGTCATTTATGGTATGAGAGACTCGATTTTGAAAATCTTTTGCATTTTGAATTTGATTGACACATATTTGAAAATTGTATATATTTTATGAACATGAATTTCATATTTATGTCTATGTAAATGGAATTTAGGTATATCAACGTTTACCATATAAAGAACATAATATTCACATATATATATTCATTCTTCGCATAAATGAAACGAACCAAATATCCTTGAGAATTACTTAGAAATATATTAGTGAGTGTTATGTAATTAATTTTTCCTGAAAGTGTTCAATTTTTCGCAATTCACCAACCCGTTCAATTAGAATTTAATTTGTATTGTAAGCTACAGTCTACCAATATATCCGACGGGTGTGATCACGGTGAATTAACTGCTAATTTTGACCAATGGAAATTTAGAAAATATCAGTTTAAAACAATTTGCCGTATTTGATATATCCATTACTATATCTAATTTATATTGAGTATTCGAGCTTCAAAACTACGACAATATCTGAAGTTACGTAGCATATAATAGATACGACATAAACTATACCTCACCTGAAAACTTGTTCTGTCAAAGTGTGTTTACCAATGTTTGACTCGCAAACAAGCGACCCCGATTTATTGGAAATCGTGAATACTTTCAGAGAAGCGATGTTACAACATAAGATATATCACGCGATCAAATGCCGGGAACTCATTCTAATCGAGTGAGTCAAAATGATTTCAAGGACGAGCGTCTAAATGTGAAACACGTGTGAGTTCGTTCGCTATTGGAACATTTTCATTATAATAAGTCAATTGTTAGCGCCAACGCCCATCAAGAAAGTACAGTTAGGGTTAAATTCACTGTTGCGTCCGTTATTTTTATCTGTGGATGGCTAAGTTACTTGGCCTGAAATTGCCATTATAAGAGTCATCAGACGGGTAAAATGCAACATTGTGAGTGCGTGGTTTGACTGCGTGAGGGAGTTGACGGTCATACACTGTAGTTTTCTAGATGGCCGGTCTTTTGCCTTGCAATCAATTTCCGCGGTTGCATGTGTCTTGTTGTTTTATTCATGCTACTAGTACATACATGTGCCTGTTTCTTTTGCAACACATTGGCATCAATATTATCGTTATGGCAACATCTATATAATTCTTTTGAAAATAAATGGTGGTAACTGTGAGGGAAACAAAGGATATCACAACAATTTGGAATTTGGCACTAGGTCCAAATATAAACTTAATTGTGTAATCTTGCTCGTTAAGTGTTGTTTGCTAGCAAACGCCTTTTACTATAATCCATTTAAAGCGTTGACATTCAAATTATTGCGGTTTGCGGTCAACTATTACAGCAAATTGGATTTGCCAACTTCTCGGAAACTGCGTTACCGTAAGTCCTCACGCTTTGTGCGTGTTTGTCGAGTTCACACACAACAGTTCAACGATGGGTTAGCCCAGTATATACTGTTTACTTTTTAATGATGAGGCACTATCAAATGGGGCAATGAACGGCACGATGTTGTGCACTATACTCATTGAGCATGATCTGTGTATAAGAAGAGCTGATGATATAAGGCGGGAATTGGCGGTGGTTGTGCAACTGGTATTGTGTAATGTGGTAAATCCTTACTGTACTCCTGTACCGAGATGCTTGTATTGAGGGTTTTAAATGCCCTGATGTGCGTAAGATAAAACAGTTTTGTTCGCTAGCGATAAAGATTCAAAGAAGATAGCGTATACTGCTAAACTGAAATATCGTTAATTAAGAATAAAGATATAGAATTTTTAGGTGAAATATCTAGGTGATGAAAGATATCGTTACCTTGCATGCATGTGATTTAGTCTGCCATCCTCTTGCGTGTAAAGGTCGACAAATAGCATAATATCTTTCCAAAGATATTGCTAACATGGTAAAAGTTGATATTGCCACCGACACACCTGGAACATAAAACATCACATTTCAGTACCAAGTTTGGTTAAGTACCATAAAAAAGTATAAAAGATATTTAGTTTCATTACACATCGGCGTTACAACCCATAGGTCCATTACGTGTCCAAAACCAACTTCGAAGATTTTGTCTTCGTTGTGTATCAAGCCGCTAGAGCGCACCATATACCCGGCGTCAGCAAAGAATAATTAGGGACATCGGATAACTAAAAAAGATTCTTCTTTGGTATTCATACCCAAAAATTTGGACCGGAATCAAATTTATTTTCATCACCCCAATGTTCTGGTTTGTATGTCCCAACTACTCCCGTTGAGCCAAAACTTTGTGCTCATATCATCTATTTTTGTACAAATGTGGATAACATGAGTAAGAAATCAGCTGAGCGCCGTGTTTACCGAAATGATTGGTAGACCAAGCTGACGAAATATGGTGCCCAATATATCTGAAACCATAAAAATTTGGACTGAAATATTAGGTCACTTAGGACAGAGGAACTAATTGATTCACAGAGACTTATTTCATCTTTAAGTGCTGAAAATATGAAATTTATTGGTCAATGAGTTTTCCTCTTCAACAGGTGTAACAACAGAAAAGATTCTGCAGCACGATCCATGGTTCTATTTTGTGTATGAAATTTTGTGTTTGTTAACACGCTAGGAAATTTAGAACAAAAATGCAAATCAATGTTGGTAATTTATCTACTTACCCATGAGATATAACATCACTTTACACATTTCCAATCCGAACATAAATTCCACCCGTACTTGACCGATTAACGTGACAGGAATACAAACCAACGCCATGAGTAAATCACTAACAGCCAGACTGAGTAAGAAGAAATTGGTCACCGTTCCCATCCGTTTATTCATGACCAGAGTTGCAATAACAAATAAGTTTCCGACTGTTGCCAGAAATAATACAATTGAGTAGCAGATAATAAAAGCCAATTTTGTTCCAGCTAGAAAAAAAAAATGAATGCAAAATATAATAACGAAATAACTCATGAAAAAGTTACCCTATTTTGATGGTTTTCAGCAAGTGAATAACCAATTAACACAAAGAGAAGTTGCCTTCGTATCTGATTCATCACAAAATGAATGAGCTGCTTGGCATATAGCTTGAACCTCATGTCATAAGATAGACTGGTGAGCCATAACTGGAAGAAACTATTGAAACACGAGCTGAATCTCTACCAGTTTTAATTCCGATCATTTCAACCAACTAAATAAGTTCACTTTAACCTTGTGGTTTGCGGATTTCGATTTTTCATTATTTTTGATTCCATGGTGAGTATTAGGTACCGGTACATATACCAGTATATACGTTTTATAAAATTAAGTATGTCATATTGTTTAACATTCTTCACATTGAACAATCAAATCCATATTTAATAATGCACAGGCTCATTTTCAATCAAATTAGTATGCAATAAATATCTCTGCACAAGCGCAAGAAATAAAACAAAATCAACCATAATAAATAAAGAGCTCAAGCTCCAAAAGGCAATATTCCCAACTAATACAATATGAATTTTGAATTGAACCGTGAATTTTTGACTTTTGGTTCATAAATTAAAGCCAAGATAAATGATTTACTATTAAAACCTAGTAAATTTTAATATTATTTATATTTGATAAAGTATTATGAAATCATGTACTAGAAATACTTTGACTGACTTTCATTTCATTTGACACACTCAATTCATGAAATTTTCAAATTGAATTAATTCTTGTTCTGTCCTATTCCAGTGGGACCTCGATCAAAAAATATTCGATTTTCAAATGTACTGTTTCTAGGTATTTTGCCAAAAACGACAGAATTATTGATTCACTTTTAAAAACGACTCAAAATTCTACTTCCCGGAGTCAAATTACTTCACTCAAATCAAACAACTCAAAACAAGTTTTTCCATCGAACCTCCTAAATATTTGTTCAATATTAGACTCTGAACAATTAGTCATTTCGCCTAAAGAGTTTTCGAAAGACAAAATTTCCAAATTCGACGAGCCGAAAATAATAATTTTTACCGTATTAAGGCAAGACTATTTTCTACACAAATAAACGAATCTTCGAATATTTTGAATTACCTAAATTTGCATGTTATTTTTCATATTGCTAATAGTGTCTTGGTGACCTGAATGTATAAACCAGACAAAAGTGGTGTTTTACGCTTTAAGCAAATTTCTTGATTTTAAAATCGTGAAAAGGGTCGCCAAAACGACCTAGGTCAGTCTAATACGATTATCTTTGCAAATGTCACCAAAATGACTTTTTGTCATATGAATTAAATGGACAAAAAAAAAAAAACATTGGACAAAAACAAGCTGTGAAATAAAAAAGTTTACTAGAATTGAATAAGTCCTAACCACGCATGGGCCGTCAGTAATTTTTAATTTATAACTCAAATTTTCTTCAGTCCAGGCAAAATCATCGATTTGAATATTTTTATCAATTATGCAGGACCAAAAACCGCTGTAATCAAATTATGTCTTTATTCATACATTGGGCGGCTTTTTCCATTATTTGGTTCGAAAAACGTGAGACAATTTGCGTGAAATCAATAAAGAAGTTTTACACATTTATTTCACAATTTTGTTAAAAATACGTAATTGCGTCATCGCCCATACGTAAATATGCAATTTTCTTTCAATTTCATTTATCTGATAACCCTCTGACCCATATGCAAATATTATATAATTCACTCTCAAATAAAACGGTAGTATAGTGGGAATAATTAAACGAAAAAGGCGATTCTACAAACTGGACAAATTGGCTAAGTGCAAATATTTATTTATATTAAAAAATTAGAAGATTTTTATTTTTCATTAGTCTCCCAGTGTATTCTTGGATTTCAAGTGGGGTTAAATTTGACCCACAAGCAAAGAATTCACCCTTTTATCAAGCTAAATGGGGGAAATGGAGAAGAACCTGTTTTAGATATGCAAATAATATTACTTCAAATCCATACTCAGAGTCTATTTTTAATCCAGGTAAATACGTTGCAGAACGGTGCAGTATTTTTATAATTCATCATGTCTTATATCTGTATTTAATCGTGATTAAATTAAACACGTATATCATGATTGACGGGATTCTAGAAAACAGCACTCAAGGATGTTTATCCAAATATACCGCAATCACGTAGATCCAAAGATCCGGCCTCGTCGCGTTCAACTTTTAAAAAATTATCGCGACACATTGGGACTAGATTTGGAAGTCAGTCAGACGGGATTCACAAGAACCATAATAAACATGGGCTTGACGGACGGAATAAACACGTTTTTTATTAAAAAGGGTAGTTTAGTTTAATAGAATTAACGTCGTTTGTCGACTTTTTTGATTCACTTATCCTTTTAGACCGTGAAATTTTTGCGGAACTAAATGGCTATATTGGACGCAAATGAACAATTAATATGTTGTACTGATCATGCACGGCCATGACTAAATTGCTCATAAAAGTGGCATTTTATGTGCTTCGCGATTGGTCGAAGAATACAACAAAATACTTAATATTGTTATAAATACTTAATAAATTGTAATACTTAAGTTTGTTCGAAAATCAGACAGTGTTTTTTGAAAATAATTAAATTACGGTATGACGAATTGGAGGTTGAATAAGTAAAAAAACACATGCCAGATTTTGTAGAAATTAAGAATTGGCGCTGATAGTATTTCATATAAAATTCGAAAATTGACCCCGGGGAAATTTATTCATAATTCATACCCAGTTTAATGTGATTTCTTTTGAAATAGAATCGTAGACAAAAACACACCTACAGAAAACTTGATCCATAGTAGGCATGTAACTTAAAAAATCGTAAAATTTAGTTACAACTGTGAATCATAAGTGGACTATGTAAAACACAACAGACCGAAATGAAAAATTGTATATTGCAGCTATACCGGTGACCAAACATACCCAGAATTTAATTTCATCTCCTTAATTATCTTCTACATTTAATAGCATCAAAATATTTTTTAATCATTCTCTACAATCTGAATTGTATGGGATAGCAGAGACGCGTTAACATTGATATTATATGTCAGTGATTTACAGTCGGAGTTCTTGGCACAATGGGGTATACCCCAAGTACAGTGCAGGAGTCTAACAAGTTTTTATTTAAATCGGAGAGTCTAAAACATATATTAAAATAAACTCTATCTATAATAATATATATATAGTGTTTACACACGATCAAATACCTATTGAGTTAGTCGCACTTTAAAAATGGTGCACTTTTAAGGTCATTTTGTTTTGCCAGAATTAGATTTGCTTTTATATGAATTTATAATATATGCATCTCTGACAAAAAAAGACTATTGCAAGGGGATTCCCTGAGCCTCTAGGATATTTCCTTGTGATTTCGCCTCACAATAACGATTGATAAGTCGATGTCATAAAAAAACAAAATAGGAAAAAAAAGTGTGTGCAGATTTATGTTTTTTGGCCATTTGCTATTTTACCGTAACCTTTAATCTCAGTTCACAACCCGCGTAGCATGAGACCTGAGCATGAGTTATAATCGATAAATTCAAGATTATCAAAATTTTACCGGTAACGATGTTTTTGATCTAACAACAAGCAGGAGATTTGAACTTGATCTGAAATTTCATGTTCTCCAACATCTCTCATGGGTATTCATAACATTTTTGAGCACAAGATAATGTTTTGCGGTCCTATTTATCCCAGAAAATGTTATGTAAGAATTACAACCGCGTAAAATTCACTTGACTGGTGATATACTGTGTTTCTCGGAAAGCAAGACAGTGTCTTATTTCAATTTTCTTTAGAAAAATAACACTAGGGCTTATTTTGGGGGAATGTCTTTTATTTTTATTCAACATAAACAAAATTAAAAAGTAGAGAATTACGAGATTTTCAAATATATAAAATATGAAAACCAATACCCATTTATTTACAAATAACACGTTACTATAACTGCTAAACATGGATTATTAATCCTTTGAAACGAGTAGGGAAGATTTCTTGCTATCCACACGGACTAGGTCAAAAAATGTTGCGCTATTGACTAGGTCTTGCTTTAAGGGGAGGGCTTATATTAAAACAAATTTATATATATGCTAGGTCTTATTTTCGGGGAAACACGGTATGTAGTTCAGGATCTCTTTACTACTAACATAAATGGTTAAAAACATTTATTCTTTTTCTAGTTTCGAAATTCAAATATATAATTGGGTTTGAAGTTGATTATTTTTAAATTATTTGATTTTATTCTTACGGTGTGCTTCGTATTTTTGTCTCCGAAAGAAACTTTTTTTCAATCACTACCAAGGTATTTTGAATTTTTCTTTGATTGACCAATAAATCCCACTGCGGCATAAGCTCTGGGCTATTACCCCAAAGGTAAAATTGTGCCAATATAGGCTAGGCCTTGGGTCGCCTTTTTCTCGTGAGGACCAGATTCCGCGTCACCTTACTGTATACGCCAATTTATTAGGTCAAGAATGGAGAGGAGCTCAAAATATTTCAACCTGGGAGGCTAACATTGTTAGCCTGACTCGCTAAGCACCAATCCCTTGCATTCGTAACCAAATATTGTGGTCACTAAACATTACACCACAGCATTATAAAATTAAATAAAAATAAAATCTTACTAATTTTGCCTCCGATACTTCTCGTCTCTTCATCTTCAACAGTGACGTCAAATATTGACGACGTCACTGTACTCGTCATCCACTCTGTGGAATTAGGAAATGGTGGAAAAGTCGAATACGGCAAATCAGTTTCATTGTACGTTATTGGGACAGCTATGTTACCAATACATTTGTGAGGACGCATGATCTGTATGATTATTACCGTTAAGCGTTTTTGTATTTTATTTGAATATCTGAAAGATGAAATAATAAAGCGTTATGCAAATATAGAAACCTTCGCATTATTTATATGACTAGGAAGTTATATTTGCAAGAAAACAATAACTATAAACTAATATAAAAAAATAATGAAGCCTTAATAAATGCTCTTAAACTTAAAAAAAACTGTTGAAAATTAAAATATCTTATTTTATATGCAAAAGTTATGTTTTAATGGTTACGTTTTTACTCAGACAGGGAAAATAATAACATATTACAGTAATAATAGAGAAAAAATTGAATAGCAAAAATGAATTTGATTTACGAAAACAACGAAATATAAAACCAGGGAAACCTTTGACGGAGCATAATATTTGTAACCTGAAACTTCATTCGAATGTCTCAAGTGATTGTTTATACAAGCGTTGACAAATATAAATTGAACATAAAGTTGCTGACTAATATAATTTGATATTTAATGGTTGCTACCGGATTATTCATTGTAAGTAAATGTACAATCGTTAAAATGAAAACTCTATTTTGCAACGTCCCGAATGACTGTACAGACACAATTTCTCAGAATAGTGAAATAAATAGTTTTTTTTATTTCTAGTCCATTCTCCTGATAAAGAGTGTGTATGTATAGAGACTGCAAATGTTTGAAAACGTGTTGTTTATTAACAGTTTTGTCTATACTTACTTCCCAATATACTCACTATATGTCATATATAATTTCCAAATTAAAGTGTATTTAGTACAGCATAAAATTCAGTAGCCGTTTTAATAAGACTAAAATATTGTTACCCAATACTCAAATGTACATGCAATAGTGGGATTCAGCCGGTTCGCACCGGTTCTATAGAACCGTCTCACGGAATTTTATGAGATCAGCGAACCGGTTAGCATTACTGGAAAAAAACACGACCTTTAGTAACAAAACCGTCTGAAAAATATGACATTTGTATGATGGAACCGGCTGACAAAAATTTGAATCCCACCACTGGATGCATGTATGTATATGTATGAGCAATTGCACATCACGACCCCTGGGTGTGGCAGTGAAAAAACAAGCTTACGTGATTACACGAACACATAAATTTTCAGGTGATAGACCATACTTCACCAATGGTTTTGCGAATTGTACAAAAAAATTGTTTAGTTATTCAATCTGGCCTTTACGTTGTAATACCCCTGTGGTAAACCAAACAAACGTCCTTAATATACAGAGTGTGGCGTTATCTGTGACGTGGCGATAAGCTATTTCAACCATATATATATATTGAATACGCTATGTTTAAGATGTATCTCTTTTTCTTTTTAACAAAAATAAATAATATTATTGATGTATAGCACTGATGTGCACTAATATGCTGAATAAGGATAAGCATAAAACCAAAATTTTACTACTTTTACATTGTGTGTCCGCAAGAAAGAGTTTCAATGTTTGAGGTTTTATTTGAGATTTCATTTCATTTTTTGATAAATGAGCAATTGTCTATTTTATCTACGTTACCAGATCCATAACCTTTTTAAGAGGCAAATTAAGTTGTTATATTACTCATGCACGTTATTTTGTGTTAGTTGTCACAACCCTTTTCTCCATATTCCAAGATGTTATCACCAGTACAAAAATGCTTGTAAAAGTCTTTGAACTAAAATGACCTCGGACAACAAAGAATCGCAACATTTGCATATGCCTTATGTAACTGAATATTCAGTAAAGGCAACGCTTGAACCGTAGTTGACAAAGGCGATGTCCATCATCCATCCGTAAACCTTCTTATATGACATAGAAGTAAGCATTCGCAATTCAATTTGAATGAAAAAAATTCTCATTAACTGTTAACAAAATTGGATTTGAACATACGCGGTCTTATACCAAACCCCAGAAAGTAACAAATCTTGATAAGATCAAAAACACGTACTATAAACACGGATCGAATTTCATTTAAGCGCGTTTTATGTACGATTCAATTTTAAAATTAAATTCTTCTGTTATCGCACCCTAGTAGAGCAAAAAAGGTTTTTTAATCAATACCTCTGTTCAGTGTCAATTTTAATCCCCTTTCGGCACAAGTTCAATGTTAAAAAGGAAAGTCTATGTCGATAATTCTCCCTTGCTTGCTTGCTACCTTCTGAGATTCTTATTCTCATAGCTGTCTAACCGGGTCAACTCAAATCGTTTCAAGTTTTGCGTCAGCTCGCTTTTTTTAGAATCCACACAACACAATATTAGCTTCATTAATCTGAAGGACTCCGGGTCGGCATTTTTCACATAAAAACTTATTGCGTAACGAGGCTGAACAAAACTCTCATGAATTTAAAATGTATTCTCATTAGGATAATCTCACCTACTCAGTGCGCGATGTTAATGTTAAAGCACATTATGAAGTTAATATGAATGTTAACTCTCTAAAATCGAGTTCATCAATTATTACTGAATATAAACTTGGGCTAAATATATTTCGATTTTCTTGAATTTGAATGTTTATCTAAATGACTATATCTTATTATAACATCAAAAACGTCATCGAATCATCTCCTCAAATATGCACGAGGGTGGATTATAATTAGTTAAATGATGAGCGGTTTTGTCATTGAACCAAATATTCCATTACTTTAAAATTTTCTGGAAAACTAATACAGTATTTCGGAAGAAGCTGTAAAATTTATCAGCATCTCACTAATTCAATATTCGGATCGCACATACATTTCACTTCCTTATCATTTTCACATATTATTCTACCTTTTCTTCTCTAATATATACCTAGTACTAAGACGTTCGGTACGCCCGTAGTATGTATGCCTGGTTAGGGTTAGGCCATACTTATATCCCGATTTTCCTTATTTTAGTTCTATTACGAGTTCAGGGACTGACTGTGATAGCTAAGTGAATATACCCCCTGCCAATAGGTTTCAGTCCCTTTACACAACTTGGATGTAAAGTAAGCAAACAAAATTAGTTACCTTCATATTGGTACATATACTTCTGGAGCACCAGACGTTCAAGTTATCTAAAATGTTACTGGAAAAATCCTATATCTCGATAAAATAAAATTCCACGATTGAACCTAAGGGTAAAATTTAAAAGACGACAAAACCACGCAGACAGCAAGTCAATCATGACTTTATAACGCAAGGATATATCAAGAGTAATTAAATAAATCTCAGGCAAACACTATGCTAGAAAGAATAATAGAAATCCCTGCTAGAATGGTGATTTAAACTAACTGAATTTTTAATGTATTTACTTTAAATTCCAAACGTAGTCTCCTGTTTGAGATTTCGAAACTACGAAATTAAAAAGCTACGCTACGCCTCGACGTTCACTGATTCACTATATGAGTTTAATTCTTCTTGTTTGTCGATGAATTCATGAATCTAAATAAATAAACAACTCGAGTTCTAAGGCAATTGTCAGATTTTATCTAACATTACCAAATACCAAATATATTAAATTTACACAAAATAGACTTTTATCTACAGTTGAAAAGCCATGAAACGTGGCCGACTACAAATAATTCACGACTAATTAGTCTAGGCAGCCGCAGTGAGCATTTGTCCCAATGTTGACGATGATATTGGGAAGTAATTCTCTGCGAAAGGGCATAGAATAATCCTGTTTCCATGCATTTTGATGCCGTGCAAAATATCTACACTGTTATAATCGCCATTTTAAGGTCTTTCTATGAACCATATAGTTCAAATTGATATACAATGGAATAAATATGATTGCTCGGTGAAATCTGCAACGAAAACTGATTTTGTTTTGTGCTCATATCTATCTATCTTTCAGTTTGTGATATGTCATGCATATAACACACTGAAGTGACGTGCATTAAGTAGTTCTACTATATTTAGGCTGTGACCGTATTCCAATTCCAAATTTTCCAAAAATAGTTTTAGCTGAGCCAATCCAACATGCCTAGCCATTCAACGCGTAAAGTTTCGATCTGTAAAGTCTATGTGTGGCGATTCTATTATTTTCAAAAATTACCTTCGCATCCACCTTTTTTCTCTTAGTTCCGCCTGTACCAAAGAAAGCCAACTCTAACAATCCAATCGCTGTGATGAACTTAATCCTATACTACTTTTGTTAATTAAACTCATCATATGAATATAGAATATATCGACATATTTGATTGGCAGAGGACGTAACTTCGTTATGGTTTTGTTTGTTAACTTTTAAATAAGACGAATCAATACCTTACCATCGTCATGCATCAATGGGATTATACCTAGGATTATGAATTTGAATTTTGAATTTCAATCTGCCAATCACATTTAATAACAAATATGTGGTTGTGATATATTGTCTTATTGTCATAAGGAATGCATCATGAATTTACAGTACTCAATCTGCGTACACGTCAGTACATCATGTACAAATTTCCCTGTTGTCGAAATATGGCGTAAAGAATGGTACACTAGTCTGTGCTCGGAAATATTCTACATGACCAATTCCACAATAATTCTTATCTTAAAGTAAATCGAAAAGCAAATAAAACTTGACATGTATGGATTAAATTACTGAAAATGATCTACAAGCATAAGCCGTTGTTACATTTGCTAATATGAAAACTATCCCGAGTCGTCTACTCTAGTTATGTACCTAGTTTATCATCATAAGAGCATCGTTGTTTTGAATATACGTATAATTTGATACTTATGTGTTTTGCTTTTAGCTGCGCCCAAATAGTACGACATACCATGGAAACACGCATCAAATCCCCAATAGAATTTCTGACTATTGTCTATCAACACTCTTTGTCTTACACTATCATATATAGTTTCTCACTATTTCCTGGCATTTCAGTTTTACGTGAGTTTATGCTGGCATAAGTTATGTTTATCAACTTTTACAGCAAATTTATATTCTTGCACTAAAGCAATTGGTATTCTGATGTTTAGGTAATCTATAGTACCTGTGAGAATATTCCAAAAAGTGTCGCCTTTAAGAATTGTACTCAGCGCAGAAGTAATTGACTATAAATCAATTATTAAAGCGAAAAGTTTTTAATTTGTCCGATTAAT